TACTGGTCTACTAGGGAAACCAGGAGTCAATGGTGGAAGAGGCTGAACAGTCGTTCTTCATTTATTGCCTTCATAAAAACAAAAGAGAACTGCCTCATTAAGAAGAAATTATAACTGTTTTTACAGTAATAATTTGTACATTCAAAGGCAAGATTGTAGAGTCCACATGCTAACAATGACACAAGCAAGCTAGCAAACTAAAAACAAAATACAAAGTTATTTTTCCCAAACAACCTAAATGTACAATGACAAAATGCTAACCCACAAAAAAATATTTGGCACCCAACATACATTTATACACAAATAAACTTATTTTACACTCGGGAGCCCTCCTTACATCATAAAAACAAAAGAGAACTGCAGCGTTGCGTAGCTGCAGAGGGCTTATATAGTTAAGCAACAAAGGGCGCCCTCTGTTGGCGCATGGACACATTACATCCTTACATCCACCCCCAGTTTTTTTGATGGCGTCTCAGACATCTTAAAATAACAAAATAAAATACAGGGTGAAAGTCTCTTTTGACTGAGTAAGGGAAAAGTTGGAGGGGGCCTTATTCTCTATTAAAAGAGTTGCGTTTCTTCTTGACCCTATATTGCCATATTTTGCGACCTCAGGCAATCTTTTGCTGCACTTTTTCATAGTGCTGTGAGATTTCCTATCACTTTGAAGCAACTTTAACTCATCAGTTAAACTCATCATTCTATCAATGTGCAGAAGCCAGTACTTTTCCCTTGTTTTGTCTATCTGAAGGCCAAGCTACATGGCACCGTGGCAGCTGCTGATTGGAGGTCTCCATGCCTCCGCTCTGTATAATACACTTGCATTCTGTGTTCGTGTTGTTCGTGCTGTCTCTACCATCGACAATAAAACATGTCTTCTGTCTGAATGAAAGACACGATCCCAGACTTTGTCATCTTCTTCAGTGCATTGCTCTCAATTGAAAGGACAGTCTTTTGGGTGGCTGCCTGTTCCTTGGGGGGTTTCTTCTGCCCACAGCACGTTCAGAAATATCCATCTCAGTATTTTGAAGCTCCACTCGTGCATCATTATCTTCTTCCTCCATATCCTCCAATGGATCCTCCTCCCCGCATTCCACATTAGAGCCATTCCTTGAATCATTGACACACTCAGTTCCATCCTCAACCTCATCTGCCGATAGTTCAGACTCCAATGGAAAAAACATGAACTGGGTAAGAAGGTTTCCATGGACCACTCTTTGCTTTTCACCATCTTCTGACTGAATGACATATACCGGGACTCCAGGCTTTTTCTTTAACCTAACCCTAAGGCTTGGACTCCCACCGGTCCCCAACTTCTGTTGGGGTGACATAGACTCTCATCAACCATTTATATTGGAGTAACCTTAATCTGGAGTTAATAGTTTGTTTTTGAGCTTTGGTGCATACCAAATGCCAATCTTCTAAAGATATGTTTGTGTCTAGATCGTTTCTCCAAGCATTGAGTTTCAGATTTGAATCTTCAAAAGAGTTTGACAACAAAAAATTATAAAATTCAGAAATTTCCCCCTTTATTGAGGCTTCCCTAGAGACCAAATTCTCCAAATTAGATGTAGGTGGTATCAGAAGATCATTTTTCTTTGTCCCAATATAGTTTATAAGTTGAAGATATTTGAAAAAGTACTTCCTGTGAATATAATATTTTTGCTGCAGCTCTTCAAAAGACATAATATTAGAATTTGTGGGGTACAGATCTTTAATCTTTTCCAGCCTATTTAATGCTCTTTAAAGACGGCATCTTTTCTGCCTGGTTTGAAGTCCTGATTGGCCCAAATGGGGCTTGTTTTAAAAGTTTTTTTTATCAAATACCATACTTTTATGACATTTTTGATTATTGGATTATTTGTTTTCTTACTTAGGTTAACTTCTGTATCGGAAAAAATATACAGAGGTAATTGTTTCCGCCCACTGTGGGGCATCCTTTTTGTGAAAATAATACCTCATTGACCTTAGTTTTTTCCTGATGCTTGAACTCTACAGACACACGCTTAGACCAAAGTTACAGAACCTGAAACTTTTGTACCAAACCTAAAACACAGACGAACCATTCCTTAAACAAAAGTACTTCTTTGCACTTTACTTTACTTTCTACAACACACTTTCTCCTTCTGCAATACACTTTCTCCTTTTGCAACACACTTTCTCCTGCTCACTACACACTGTGTCATACATAAGACACTGTGTTCATAAATGCAATCCTGAGTTATCGTTGGGAAAACACATCTATTCAAAATACCAAACACATTGTGTGACTAAAAACACCGAGACACACACTTGAAAACACTGACTTACAAAACACGACACACATCAGCCAGACATCAACAGGCCTCAGTTTAGCCATTTTCAGAACTTTGCAAGTTTGAAGCAGGAAGAGCAAGAGAGAGGAAGAGGTGGAGAAAGGAGGAAGTTGTGGTTGAAGATATTTCTGACATTAGAGCAACTTTTGTGATCAATCTTGACCTCACACTGAGGGAAGAGAGAGTCAGACACAGCTGCAGCATCAGGACCTTCAGATGGAAACATGTCTTAGACTCTGAGACTGTATCTACAGTATTTACAGTACTGTACTGTATCACATGTACTGTAACTCTGTACTGCAGACTGTATCTACAGTATTACAGTACTGTATCACATGTACTGTAACTCTCTACTGCAGACTGTATCTACAGTATTTACAGTACTGTATCACATGTACTGTAACTCTGTACTGCAGACTGTATCTACAGTATTACAGTACTGTACTCTATCACATGTACTGTAACTCTCTACTGCAGACTGTATCTACAGTATTTACAGTACTGTACTGTATCACATGTACTGTAACTCTGTACTGCAGACTGTATCTACAGTATTACAGTACTGTACTCTATCACATGTAATGTAACTCTCTACTGCAGACTGTATCACATGTATTACAGTACTTTACTGTATCACATGTGCTGTATTGCAATTTGGCCATTGCTCCTTTTGAAAAATGGTAGTTTTGTGAAACATACAATACAGTAAAGTACTGTACATAGTACTGTACTATTGAGATGTCACAGTACTGTGTACAGTATACAGTACTGTGAATAAAAAACTAAACCTATTCTAACAATTTGTGGTTTCCTATTTCTACAGAATGACTAGAACCTTCTCAATGTGCTCCACAACTGTTCCCCAACAGCAGGAACATCGTGGAAACAGTCTGAGCAGGAACATGATCCATAATCCACTCACGCACAACTGCCTAGTTTTACATTAGAGATTTTATATTTATGTGTCACTGCATTGACACAAAAGCAGTAAAGTATACTGTAGTACTGTACTGTAAAGTATACTGTAGTACTGTGATGTACAGTGTACTGTAGTACTGTACTGTAAAGTATACTGTAGTACTGTGATGTACAGTGTACTGTAGTACTGTGATGTACAGTGTACTGTAGTACTGTGATGTACAGTGTACTGTAGTACTGTCATGTACAGTATACTGGAGTACTGTGATGTACAGTACACTGTAGTACTGTGATGTACAGTGCACTGTAGTACTGTGATGTACAGTGTACTGTAGTACTGTGATGTACAGTACACTGTAGTACTGTGATGTACAGTGCACTGTAGTACTGTGATGTACAGTACACTGTAGTACTGTGATGTACAGTGCACTGTAGTACTGTGATGTACAGTGTAGTGTAGTACTGTGATGTACAGTACACTGTAGTACTGTGATGTACAGTACACTGTAGTACTGTGATGTACAGTGCACTGTAGTACTGTGATGTACAGTACACTGTAGTACTGTACTGTAAAGTATACTGTAGTACTGTGATGTACAGTATTGAGTTGATATACTTTATAAAGCACACACAGAAGAACATGTCCATACATGTTGTAGAATGCTAAAGTGTCCTGATCATCACCAATCCTTTCTGTTGGACACTAACTGTCCAACAAGACCCTCCTGCATCGACAAGGAAAAACTCTTAAAAAACCCAGTGGGAAAAAGTGAGAAACCTTGGGGAGCACTAGGGAAACCCACAGGGAGGGAGACCCATATGAGAAAGGGATCCGATCCTCCGGACGGACAGGCTAATGATCCAGGACCTAAGCTAGCTACAGGACGTGGACCAGTGGCCGCTGAACGTGGACTGGTCTCTCTGGTCTCTCTCTGGTCTCTCTGGTCTCTCTCTGGTCTCTCTCTGGTCTCTCTCTGGTCTCTCTCTGGTCTCTCTCTGGTCTCTCTCTGGTCTCTCTCTGGTCTCTCTCTGGTCTCTTGAATAGAGTTGTATTTGTGCCTCTCTAAAATGAAAGAGAAAGATCGCTCTGACTAAAGTTGATGAACCCTAAAACTGTGACTGATCTTTTTTAAACAGAGAAAAGTCAAAAAGCATAATATGGCTCCTTTAACAGAAATAGCTTGTTTACACTTTTGTCTCATTAAAGGAACTTTAATCCCATTCTTATGTTTCGTACTTGAACCATGTTTATGTCCATCTTCAAAAGTTCACATCGAGCAGAACAAAAATACCACAGTACATTAAAGGAGACACATGTTTAAAACACATTAAAGGAGACACATGTTTAAAACACATTAAAGGAGACACATGTTTAAAACACATTAAAGGAGACACATGTTTAAAACACATTAAAGGAGACACATGTTTAAAACACAATAAAGCAGACGTTCGTTCACTTGCTCAATGATCAACGTCCTTAAAAACACAGTCTTTTAAAACACAGTCTTTAAAAACAGAGGTAAAAATAACCCCCGGAGCAGACCCGATGCAGGCCTGATGCAGACCTGATGCAGACCTGATGCAGACCTGATGCAGACCTGATGCAGACCTGATGCAGGCCTGATGCAGGCCTGATGCAGGCCTGATGCAGACTTGATGCAGACCTGATGCAGACCTGATGCAGACCTGATGCAGACCTGATGCAGGCCTGATGCAGGCCTGATGCAGACCTGATGCAGACCTGATGCAGGAGGCTCACACAGACACCTCCTGCTCCTTCAGAGGGGCCTTGGCGTCAGTCGGGGCCGGTGCAGCTTCAGGCTCCTGCGGGACCCAGAGGAGACGCAGGCGCTGGGGACAGAGCAGGTCAGAGACATCCTCAAACTGTGACGTGACTATGAAAAATATGAATGATAAAACAGAACCAAATTTATAATATAATCTATTTATAAAATCTAATATATCTAACATATGTGGGCGACAGAGGCTCAGTTGGTAGAGCAATGGCCTTAGAGCCTGAAGGTCGTGGGTTCGAGCCCACCTCAAGACCTACTTCACGACTCCCTCTGATGACTGCTGTTGTTGTGTCCTTGGGCAAGACACTTAACCCCACTTTGCCTGAAGCCCCCTCTGAAAGACCAAGGTTCCTGTGGACTCCTCCTGCAGGAGGATCAGTGAGGGGCTGGTGCTCTGTGGACTGGGTGTACTGTAGCTCTGACTGCCACCCCCCCAACCCAGAAATGGATTAAGGGGAAGTAAATGGATGGATGTATAAAATGTAATATATTAAAATGTATGAACATTGTCAAGTTAAAAATACTACACATCTTATTACGAGTTGTAAAAATGATCTCCTACAGATGTTCTATCTTTCTTTCAAAGAAAATCCAAAAAATATTTGTTATTGGAGAAGAAATGATCAACTAAAGAGAGTGACCTCATGATTGGTTTGTGTCTGAAGTTCCGCTCTTGGATGGTTCTAATAAGATAAAAACAATGGTTTTGCTCTAAATTAGTTTTGGATTTTAAGTCTAACCATTTACAACATTATTTCATCCAATGTTACTTAGATCTACATAGATTAGAATGTAATGTTCCACTTCTACCACTAGATGGGTGTGTTGCTCATTCTTGTCGTCTCTTAATCCATTATACAACAGTTTTCTACATATATGTCTGTATCCATGAAGGCGAAGGCCAGACGCAGACCTGCAGAATGGGACCTTTGGTGAGGTAGACCTTGACCACGGCCCACAGGGGGATGGGGAGGATGCCGGCCAGAGCCATGGTCCAGCCCAGACCGTAAGCCCAGTCCGGGAACAGGGCGCCGTCGTCTGAGGTCAGGGGCTCGCTGTTCATGAAGGACAGCACCAGGAACACCTGGAGACACAGAAGGACACGTGTGAGGTCTAAAAACACATTTCTACATGTCTTTACTGTTTACATTTACATAAATTGTGTGTATTTGATGTTTTCTTTGCTTTTTTCTACCTGGGATGTTGTCTTTTTCACAGTTTCTAATCTAATGAATGTTGTATGTTTGAGTAATTCTATTTAATACCCGAACACAAAGCTTCATAAAATGTGTGTTTCACCTATCACCTATCCCCACCCATCTCTCTACATCAACTTGAGTGGTTAGCACTCTCGATTCTCAGTAAGAAGGTCCTGGGTTTAAATCCTCCAGCTCATCTAAGGGAATCCCAAGGTGTTCCCAGGGCGGCAGAGAGAGTCCCTTCCAACGTGTCCTGGGTCCCTTGTAAACCAGACCCCCTCAGGCCCCCGGCTGTGCCTAGATATTCTGTCCAGTAAAAATAGTGAACAGGACCAGAAGCAGCTTTGTGGAGACCAACACTAGGAACAGGTCTGACTTACTGCCCCCAATGCAAACACAGCTCTGACTCTGGTCCTACAGGGACTGGCCCCCCAATTTTTGTCTGCAGAACCTCACACACTGTTGTTTCCTCTCTCTGGCCTCTCTCTGGTCTCTCTCTGGCCTCTCTCTCGTCTCTCTCTCGTCTCTCTCTCGTCTCTCTCTCGTCTCTCTCTCGTCTCTCTCTCGCCTCTCTCTCGCCTCTCTCTCGCCTCTCTCTCGCCTCTCTCTCGTCTCTCTCTCGTCTCTCTCTCGTCTCTCTCTCGTCTCTCTCTCGTCTCTCTCGTCTCTCTCTCGTCTCTCTCTCGTCTCTCTCTCGTCTCTCTCTCTCGTCTCTCTCTGGTCTCTCTCTGGTCTCTCTCTGGTCTCTCTCTGGTCTCTCACCATGAGGAGTAGAGGAGTGATGTACTTCCAGCAGACGGTGACGGCAGCAGGGATCCTCTGACCCGTCATGTTCTCCACCTCCGCACACAGCCGCTCAGGTCCTGAAAATGTGCATAGAACCGAAGGATTTCATCTTGTTGACTGTCTTGTGATTATTTATGATTTAAACGCCTTGTATTGGTCCTATCTGGTTTGGTTCAGCATTTTGAGTTTCCTTGAGTATGAACTGTGCTATACAGATAAACTTGCCTTGCATTAAAGCTGAGGTATTTTACACAACGCAAAAAAAAAGAATGGACAGAATGTTTGACTCTTTGAACCACTGACAGAGGCCAACAGTGACTCACACGGCTCCGTCTTGACACAATGAATACAGCAGTTTCAGCACATTTTACACCTACTGTTGGCGTAAATAATATGTCATTTATCTCACAAAATACTTAGGTACCGCAGCTTTGATGTAAAGTAAAATAGATAATTGACAATAAGACAATAAGACATGTCAACATCTGTGGATCAGAGCTTTTCAGAGGTCCTCCATCTGTATGTGACCAGTTTAAATTCAAAAACACCACTTTAGTGAATAACAAACAGAGAGAGGATCACACACCGAAGGCCCAGCCGACGGCCACACAGTGCACCACGGACACGAACAGCAGCAGGGTCCCGGACGCCCCGTAGAAGTCCACGAGCTGGAACTGGAACAGTCCTCCCTGAAACAGACGCTTCAGCATCAAACCCTTTCAAAGACTAATATACAACAATATTCTGCTCCTTTTGACTTCAATCATGATTTTGTTAATATTTACTGGTTTCAAAATGGAAGTCATTACTGAAGAAAATATATGGATAAACATAATGGACGAGGTGAGAACTCCCCCATCTAGTGGTAAACCTTAAGAAGTACGTCCTACTTCTGTGATGAACATCTGATATGGGGCGATGTATTCATCCGTTTGTGTCCAGTGTTGACGTCCCAGAGATGTGAAAAAGGTCTGAGGAGGTTGTGAATCTTTGGCAGTGACATCATACAGTGTCTGATCATGACGAGGAACATGTTTGAACCATGAAGTCAAGATGGAACACATCAATCCACACACCATGATAAAGCCGATTTCACAAGGCGGTCAGGTGCTGTTATCGAGGTTACAGAGGTTGTCAGGGCTGTTACCGAGGTTGCAGAGGTTGTCAGGGATTGTTAGCAAAGTTACAAGGCGATCAGGCCCCGTTACTGAGGTTTCCCAGGTTACTGAGGTTGTCAGGGCTGTTACCAAGGTTACGAGGCGGTCAGGGGCTGTTACCAAGGTTACAAGGCGGTCAGGGGCTGTAACCGAGGTTGCAGAGGTTGTCAGGGCTGTTACCGAGGTTTCCGAGGTTGTCAGGGCTGTTACCAAGGTTACGAGGCAGTGAGGGGCTGTTACCAAGGTTGGGCGGCACGGTGGCTGAGTGGATAGCACTCTCAGCAAGAAGGTCCTGGGTTCAAATCCCGGTTGGACCAGGGCCTTTCTGAGTGGTTTGCATGTTCTCCAAGGTTACGAGGGTGGTAAGGGGTTGTTACTGACATTACAGGATGGTCAGGGGCAATTACCGAGGTGGTCAGGGGGATCTGCAGGAGGAAGCACAGGAGGCAGAAGACTGTGAGGAAGATCTCCCTCCTCTTCGGACCCCGCAGCTGGTCTGGGAACAGGTCTATGATGGACGCTGTGATGGTCTCCAGCCCCGAGAACTGCAACAACACATGTTACCGGCAGAAAACCACAAAGCCGTCACAACTCACCCTTTAGAGGGCGCTAGTGGACAGGTTTGACCTTTCAGTACATTCCTTTTTCCTGGGATGCTGATGGACAATATAATTTACCAACATTTTTTCAGATTTGTGCAGCTAGGATTTGGAACAGTCTTCTTGAAAATGTGAGACAGGCGACTTCTGTGGCCGTTTTTAAGCCTAGGTTAAAAACGGTTCTGTTTAGTTGTGCATACAACTGAATGATTTTATTTTTAGAGCTATGGCTATTTATGATTTTAATGTGTGATTTTATTTTTTATGCTTTAACATTTTTGTATGATCTCATTGTGTGTTTTTAATGCCCTTTAGGATTTTAATTGTATTTTTAATGTTTATGTGGATTTTAATGTCTAGGATTTATGCATGATGTAATATGGGTTCAACCCATATTACATCAGGCTCACAACCCATTGGGTTGTGAGGAGCCTTGTGTTGCCGTGTGTAGGAAAGGCGCTCTACAAATAAAAGTTGATTGATTAAAATTTTTACACCATTTTCAAGATTACAGAGCATTTCAATTGCACTGCCAAGCACTTTCTTTTTAATTTAACTCAAAGCTTAGAGAAGAATTTAATACTTAGGTTAGACTGTAACGGCTGCTCACTGGTCTCCAAACAATCTGAAAAGCAGCTCGGGTCCTGACGGGAACTCTGAAGTACAACCACCTGGTCTCAGGTCTCTGCACTGGCTCCTGTGGCTCAGAGAATAGACTTTGTTACAAGTCTCTCCATGGCCTCGCACCAAGAACATACTGTAAGGGTGCTTTCACACCTGCACCATTTAGTCCACTTAAAGCGGACTGGAGTCTGGAACACCTGCAAGTACGGTTCGTTTGAGCAGGTGTGAAAGTGGACCAGTTAAATTTGGTCCGGACTAAAGAACCGCACCGAGACCACCATATGGAGCTGGTCTCGGTGCGGTTCCATGTGGACTCCAGTCTGGTTCGCTGCTGGTGAGAACGCAGACCGGCCTCAATGTGGCCCTGCTCTGTTGCGTAGCTCACGTTTTGACACACACATTGTCTTTTTATATGATAGAATCGTCAAAAACACCCACAGAGTGTTCTCGTGCTGAATCCGCGATACATACTGGAACAACAGTATTTGTGCTGCACAAAGCAACGATGATAAGAAATAGCCAAAAAACGCAGAGTAGCACAGTCACATACGTCATCCAATACACAGTATTGTGTGAACAGCGCCACCACATGGGTGGCAGAATATGTAACATCCACAGGTTGGTTCATTTGCAAAAACACTGGTGTGAATGAGAACCAAACTAGTTGAGAACTGCAACATTGTAACAACTTTAGGGCCCAAGCGAACCACTTTACTGGACCTACAGGTGTGAAAGCCCCCTAAGTGACATGTTAGTGCCATGTGAACCAACTCTGAGGAGCACAGGGACTGGCCTCCTGCTGGGACTCTGAGGAGCACAGGGACTGGCCTCCTGCTGGGACTCTGAGGAGCACAGGGACTGGCCTCCTGCAGGTTCCAGAGTCAGGACTAAACATGGGGAGGTATAGCATTTCAGATTTACGAGGCTACAATCTGGTCTTTCTGAAAATGAGAAACTTCTACCCTACTTTGCATACCAGGATTGTATCTTCATTCTTTTTAATGTCCTGTGATTATTATTTACATTTTGCTCCCCTGTGTGATTTATGGCGTGTGTGATTTGAATGTGTGAATTTCTTGTGCACACTGTAAACCCTGACAAGTAAAGTTTTCTTGAAAAAACCTTGGAAATAAATGTCATATTAACTTCACTTGAATTCTTCGAGTATATTCTTACCTTGATGTTGCCAAGTGAACTTAATTGAATGCAATAAAGTTAGACAGAGATTTCAACTCGTACATATATCTGCTCCTACCGGGATCTGAACTCATATTCTTTGCACTGAGAGTGCAACCCACTCAGCCAACATGCCACACTTGCCATATCCAAGACTCTACTGTACATGTTCAAAATATCAAAAGTGCAGCTTACTTGAACAGAGACAGCTCAATTCAAAGAAGGCCCTGAGTGGTATAGCCAAGCTTTAAACAAACTAACAATAAACAAGTATTATCTACTTACTGGGAAAAATCTATTTAAAATAATTTTGATGTCTGTAGTAAGATTGAAGTTAGGTGCACCGTCAAACACAAAAACATTGTGTTTTTAATGCGAAGTTCTCTGCAAATAAAGATTTATTCCACAGATTCTCACAGGTGACAGACCTCCTGCTGAAATATGCTGTTTTAAACTGACCAATCACATGTCCAGTTTATTACAGCTACTGTTCAGAACTAAAGGGACATTTATGTTTAGAGCAGTAATGAGGAGTGGCCTGTAGGGGGAGCTCACCACAGTGTCCAGGCCCAGCATGATGAGCATGATGAAGAAGCACGTGGCCCAGAGCTGAGGGACAGGCATCAGGGCGACCGCCTGAGGGAAGGCGATGAAGGCCAGACCCGCTCCTGGACACACAGGGGGGGTTAGAGGGACACACCAGGACACAGGGGGGGGGTCAGAGGGACACACCAGGACACAGGGGGGGTCAGAGGGACACACCAGGACACAGGGGGGGGGGGGGTCAGAGGGACACTTCTGCATGTGTTGTGTAGCACCGTTTCCACCGGCCCTACTCTACTGGTTTGTTATGGGTTGGGTGCAGGGATAAGGTACCAGATATTTAAGTGTAACAGGAACACTCTGAAGTAGAGCAGGTTTGGTGGAAATGGGGCTTTTGTGAGCTTTCTGTCTTTGAACCACACTCACTTGTGATGCAATACTTTTAAAAGCCGTCCATGTCAGAGTGGTACCTGAGCTGTCAGAGTGGTACCTGAGCTGTCAGAGTGGTACCTGAGATGTCAGAGTGGTACCTGAGCTGTCAGAGTGGTACCTGAGCTGACCACCTTGTCCACGGTGATGCCCTGCTGCTGGGCCATGAAGCCCAGTGTGGAGAAGACGGCGAAGCCGGCCACAAAACTGGTGCAACTGTTCAGCAAACAGAGCCACAGACTGTCCCTGGAAAACACCAACGTCTGTGTTTGCACTTTCTATGTCTGTGTGACGGAAGACCAGAGAGAGAGACCAGAGAGACCATAGAGAGAGGCCAGGTTGGGAGACCAGGAAGAGAGACCAGAGAGAGTTCAGGAAGAGAGACCAGAGAGAGTTCAGGAAGAGAGACCAGATATAGACCATAGAGCAGGGGTGTCAAACCGGTCCTCAAAGGGCCGGTGTGGCTGCAGGTTTTAGTTCCAACCTTACCAGGAGAACACCAGACTCCACCCATTTCCTCAGGTGAGACCATTTTTCACCTTAAGATTTGAGGAAATGGGTGGAGTCTGGTGTGCTCCTGCTCAAGTTGGAACTAAAACCTGCAGCCACACCGGCCCTTTCTGGAACCGGTTTGACACCCCTGCCATAGAGAGAGAGGCAGGAGATAGATCAGAGAGAGAGGCCAGGTTGGGAGACCAGGGAGAGAGAACAGAGACCAGCGAAAGACCCGAGAGCGAGAGCGAGAGCGAGAGAGAGAGAGAGACTAGAGAGAGAAAGACTAGGAAGAGACCAGAGAGAGAAATCAAGAAGGGAGACTAGATAGACCAAAGAGAAAAAACAGGGAAAGAGAACAGAGAGAGAGACCAGGGAGATATACCTGTAGCAGTTGTTTCCCTTTGAGTTGTAGCTGCTGAGGGTGATGAGAGTTCCAGAAGCCAAACCGTAGGAGAAGATGACCTGAGAGCACGCGTCCAGCCACACCTGAGGACACACCAGGAAACCAGGACTCATAACATGTAGCTCATTCAGAATCAGGATTAATAGGGTCACATAGCATCATCAACAATATTATGAATTGTCACAGAACTGGCAGCCAAGATACATTTCAATGAGTCTGGGGCATCGCTGAGGTTTCCACAAAGAGCCGCCCAGACTGCCCTTCGTTTTCATGTTCAGAATTTCTAGGCGGAGGCAGGCCTGGAGGGAGTCCGGTTTGTTGTAGCTTCAAGCATCCAGGATTTCCAACATGCACTGTGACAGTTGGCAGCCGAGTGTGAAGCTGCCCTAGTCCACAGGTACAGTCTGTGTTCCCTCTCTTGCTATGGTCTGGATCTCGAGCTTTGGGAAATGACCAAAACATTAAGATCTTCCTCCTCCGATTCCAACTCTCCCAAACATGGGACTGACTTCTGCAGCGACCACTGGCCAGCAGAGGGCGTAGTCAGCCCAGTAGGTTGGCCGGGTTGACTGTGCCTGGGTACAGCATGGCTCTATTATATTAACTGGATAGGGTATTACTAGCTTGGAGCTGAAGAACCCACGTGCTCGGGGGAATCTCGCGGTATTGCAGACTAAACCAGACAGCTGACAGAGAACCTAACAGAACCTAGCTTTCATAAAGGTCTGATTTTGTGTCCCTTGTCATCCTGAACTATTTTCCATCTTAAATCCTTCGGTTTTCTTTAAATCCACACTTTAATGCAACAAACTCTGCTCGTCTGGCTCCAAAGCACGGCCGAACCCCTCTGTACACGTACATGACAGCCACACATGCAAATTTCGCGCAACGCATCATGGGAGTTCATCCACTACGCAGAACCGGGAGGACCGGACGATGCCCAAATACAGGCGAGTTTCCCATGGATCTTTGCGAGTTCCAGGCGGAGTTTCGTTAATCTTTCAGCCCCCATGCCGTCACAAAGCGCCACTGAGCACAACCATTCATTTGAATACGGCGCCATCTTGGATCGCTTGGGGTATAGCAGCTGATATGGCGCCATATGTGACAATGGAAGACGAAATCCAACATCGCTAAGTTACAAATGTCTAGCATAGAGAAACCAAATAACTTTATTCCGCTAAAAATACAAGTTGAACCTCCCTAAACCGAAATAAAGATAGTTCAAGATGACCACTACTTGATTTTGGAAGTCTGCTTTGATAAAGTTGGTTGAACAGCATTGGCATATTTAAGGAGAGCTTTTTGATGTCAATAATTGTGAATAAAAATAAAATCTCGGTGTCTTTCCTCACATGAATCTGAAGTGGCGACATCCATGTTTATGTGTGTGGAGCACAGAGGCGAGCTCACCCTGCGGTCGGCCAGACGGGAGGGATCCGGGTACAGGTAGAAGACCAGCCCATCCCAGGCCCCCGGCAGCGTCAGGCCTCGCACCAGCAGCACCAGCAGCATCACGTACGGGAAGATGGCCGTGACGTAGACCACCTGAGGAGCCACAGCAGGACACGGGACCGGGAAAATGATACAGGCTTATTATTGCAGACTGATGGACCAAATATTATTATCATTGTGTTCTGTTTCAAAGTTTAAAATTAGCTCAAATATATCTTTCCACAGTAACCAGAATGAAGAGTTGATTTGCAAAAACAAATGTCTCCGCTTTGAAAATGTATCAAAATATGTTATTCCTCAAGCTACAATCTTCCACATGTATAGTTATTGGCAGTGAATTTGCAAGGATTTGCTCAAGAAGGAATGAAACTTTACGTGTAAGGCACTAAAATGGATCTGGCTTTTCACAAAACTACTTGGTAAAGAACTATTTGTAAGCCCCACAAATATTAACAGGCATCAAAAGGAGGAAACACATAACTCCAGTGTTTAATCACTCCACTTGCTTCTTGTGGAGTATAGAATCAGATTTAACTTATAAGGCCATAAATTACTCAAATCGACGGCTTAAAGTCCTCTGAGAGAAGTACAGTTGTAATTTAGGGCTTTACAAAACAAAACATAATTGAAATGAAATGGATTTTTTCTCCTGGCACTTGTTTGTGCAAATGAACTATTCATATTAACTTGAAAATCAGTTCAATACGCAAATGACTATTGTTGCTATTATGTATCTGTTTGTTTGTATGGATGAAGTGTTTCTGCTGCTGGACTTTCTCCTACAGGGATCAATTTTCACAACTGTCTATTCATTTTTGTCTTGTCTATTTATTTGTTTTAAATTGGACCCAGAGTCTGTAATAGAATTTAATTAAATAAAGTTTCTATCCATCTACCCCTGGGGGTCTGCATACCCCGGGTTGGGAAACACGGATGTAAATGACAAAAGAAAAACTACTGGAACATTTGCAAAAGCGTAAAGTCCACTTTGCTTCGATACCTTCCCAGTGGAGCGAACTCCCTTCCACACACAGAAGTAGCAGACCACCCAGCAGACCAGGAGCGCCAGCAGCACCTGCCACTGCACCTGCCCCATGTCCTGGATGCCCCGGGACAGGCCCAGCACGCCCCTCCTGGAGATGCATGGAACAAACCTCAGTCATAACACTAAAGGCCGAGAAGGTTCTTTTAATCAGACAAAAGTGTAAAGAAGCTACTTCTGCTTAATCTGCCCTCTCGCCTCTGTTGACGGCCGTGTGCCCCGCTTCAAAATAGAAATTGCCCTCATGTCCATCTTGTGTATTTATGTCTGATCAGATGAATCTGTTTGACCGGCTACGACCGGTATCACCAGATGATCAGAGACACGCCACACCATCACGTGTCTCCACTGACAGTCTCCCGCCCAAACATGTGGTCATTAAGCAGAACTAGCTTCTTCACACTTTTGTCTTATCATAAGAACCTTCTAAGCCTTAGACAAATAAAGACATCATGAACTTTTAACAGAAATAACACTTCTCTGATCCTGTGGCTTTTCTGACTCTCACTTGGATTTTAACTCTCAATGTGTTGCACAACTCAGGTCTGACTAAGAAAAGACACACATAACTTAATTCAAGCATGTACAGTATGTACATCGGGGTGCCCAAACCTTTTAGTTGGAGGGCCACTTTAGTTCAGGAATTTGTAATTGTCCAGGGGCCGACAACATGGATTGACTGGATTTGGGCTGTTCTAATCTTTAAAATAAGGTTTGACAGGTCCATATCGGTTCATATTTGTTGGAGCTGAAGTTGACAATATTGAATGAAAATATTTTACTCACTAGATACATTAGCGTCATAAAATCAAAATGAATTGTCAGTGCAGTCAGGATTCCAAAGATTCTGAGCTTCACAACGAGTTTTATCCTGCCAATGAGCTGAAGTTGGCCGGATGACACTGAACTACTGTGAAAGACTGCTTCATGGTTGCGGGAAATGACACAGAGGCCACTGTGTCATGAGTCATGACACGCCTGCTCTATGTATAGATTCAACCTTTTTGCAGTGAATTTCTATTGTATTGTTTTGGGTCAAACAAGCTTCTTGAATTCCGTCACCCATTTCTCTTGACAACAAGTGCAGTACGGGCACCTTCCCAGCAGAGGGCAGTACTCACTCCCAGAACTCAATCACAGAGGATGTGGAGGTGTTTCCATCGGCCAGGCTCAGGTTGAGGGAGGAGGAGGTGTTCCAGGAGGAGGTGTTCCAGGAGGAGAGCTCCACACACCGCTCTGCACACACACACACACACACCAACACACACCGACACACACACACAAAGGTTGTGCTTAAAGGAGAGGAATCACACTTTCAAAACAATCCTAAACTAAAACAGTTTGCCTGTCAGTAGTTTTCACTTGCTTGTGTCGTTGCCCTCTGTCACAGCTTTTTCAGTCCTTCGTCGTTATCAATTTTCTATAAATCCACACTTTAGTGCCACAAACTCTGCTCATTCATCTCCCGTTCTTACTCCGCAAATCAGAACACGCGTCTGACAGAATAACACAAGGCAAAAGAGGAGAGGATCGGAGTTTTCTTAATAATCATGGCATTTTTAAGTTAAGAATTCAATTAGACCAGATTTATGCTATTTTCAATTGAAGTCAGTGGTTTGAACAGCAGCTTAATGAAACTTGTATTTCAAACAGTGGATGGAGGATCTCTTTCATTTGTGTATGTGTTTTATGTATGTATGTGTGTATATATGCATGTCATGTGTGTCATGTGTGTCATGTGTGTCATGTGTGTTGCTGACCAGAGTTCCAGTGGTTTTGGCAGGAGGCCCAGGGCAGCACCTCCCTGAAGCAGTAGACCAGGTAGAGCAGGGCCCAGGCCAGGATGATGGCATAGGCCCGAGAGAACATCTGGATCATCAGGATGGAGTACCCTGTGCCTGTCGGGACAAGGACACAGTTTAAACAAGCAGACGATGGACCATATGCTAATGTGGGGCTGCACCATGTGGGACAGAACATACTGTATATGAATAGTTCGATTGCAAAAACAGATAAGCGACATGAGAAAGTGATATTGGAATGTAACTTAAGTTATCATTTTGGTAAATCGTATGTGGCTATGTGCTGAATGCTCTGTATTGTAATTCACTTTAGCTTCAGGAAGACACCAGGAGGTCTGGGGAGCTCATATGCTAAGTGTCTTTTGTTGTGTTGGTTTCTTCCTTTCCCATCTGCATACGAAGGTGTGTCTTGTTCTACCAAAAGGGGCTTGTAGACTGTGAATCTTCAGACTTGTCCTGAGAGAGGCTGGGGTCTGTGCCTTGCCTCTGTCAGGACATTCTCCTTGTACAATGTAACAAGTAAAAGATTAACTTTGTCTCTTTGTTGTGTGAGATTTCATCAGGTTCAACTGTAGTTGAAACAGCATTATCAGAAAGTCTTACACTTTGATCTTCACCAAGTCATTTTGTGACAAGCCGCAGATACATGTTAAGACTATCCAATTGAAGTTTTGCCGCTTCTTGGGACAACTCTTTCAAAAGTACTGCTGTTTTAGAAATATAGATAGATACTTTATTGATCCCCCGTCGGAGAAATTCATGTGTATATGGCATATGTTATAATTCAATAGTAACTTAAAGTAACTTAGTAGATTATGTATTTTGACCCAAAGGCATAACTAATAATAATAATAATAATGTAGTGCATTTTAGGGCGACAGTGGCTCAGTTGGTAGAGCATTGGCCTTTGAGCCTGAAGATTGTGAGTTCGAGCCCACCACGAGACCTACTTCACGACTCCCACTGATGTTTGCTGTCGTTGTGTCCTTGGGCAAGACACTTTACCCCACTTTGCCTGAAGCCCCCACTGAAAGACCAAGGCTCCTGTGGACTCCACCTGCAGGAGGATCAGTGAGGGGCTGGTGCTCTGTGTACTGGGTGTAGCTCTGACTGCCACCCCCCCAACCCAGAAATGGATCAAGGGGAAGAAAATGGATGGATAGTGCATTTTATTGTCCTTGTAGGGAAATTTGCATTTGATCCAACCTGATGCCACTTTGAGGAACAGTGGCCCAGGAACTATGGGGAAACCAGAGCTCCCGAGGGAAAATCACGCAGACACAGGGAGAACATTCAAACTCCACTCAGAAAGCGTCATGGTTTTTATTTTATTTCCTGTTTTATTTTGTTATTTGTTACTCCCTGTGACTTTAGTTGTACTTCCTGTTGTCCGATGCCCTGCCCTGACATGTGTGTGTCACCTGTGTTGGTCTGGTGTATTCAAACCCTGTGTGTTCCTTCACTCCCTGCTACGTCATTATCATTCCCACGTCTGCATCCGTTCTGTCCTCGGTCCCTGTGTTTTCTCTGGATTTTGATTTGTGCTTTTTATTTAATCCAATATTTTGTTGTTCCGCGTTTTTGGGCTCATTTCAATTTTACCCCTGTGACAGAAAGAGCCTGTACCAACTGGGATTCGAACCCAGGACCTTCTTTCTGAGAAGCGAGAGTGACCTCCCAGCCACCACACCTCCCTAATCTGTCGCTCTGAACAGACAGCGAGGCCAACAGACGAGCAACATATTTTAGTTACGTATTTATGTCAAAGAACTGTACGTCCTGTTCCAATTGATAGTATATATTATCTCAGAGTTTTGTCAGAGTAAGATAGGGAAAAGAGAAGCCTTGAGCGACACTAATCACTCAGGACCTGATTCGGTCGACAGCAGAAGTAGATATGCCTCTTGTTCTTTTGTGTTGACAAAATTACAGCCTGATAATTACAGCCTGTGCGGTTTGATTATCGTGACCACAATAATGCAACTCTGCTTGACTGGATTAAATAAGGCTTAGTAAAGCATTATACATACTGACTCAGACCACTCTTGTCTCAGTATACATGCAGACCCAGACCTCTGTCTCAGTATACATGCAGACTCAGACCTCTCCTGTCTCAGTATACATGCAGACTCAGACCTCTCTGTCTCAGTATACATGCAGACTCAGACCTCTCTCGGCTCAGTATACATGGAGAGCTCTCTCGGCTCAGTATACATGGAGAGCTCTCTCGGCTCAGGATACATGCAGACTCAGACTTCTCAGGCTTTTACTTACCCTGGGACAGTGGGCAGAGGCGGGACCAGCATGTGACTGCCCCCTGCTGGCAGTACTGGCCAATCATACTCTCCAGCATGAAGAGGGGCACCCCACAGAAGAGGGCGAAGAAGCAGTACGGCACCAGGAACACACCTGGAACACAACCAAACACTTATGTCAGCTTTTGGAGGGATGACACTGCTTCTCATTTCGTTATTGGCGGTTGGGAGAAAATGTCGCAGAACAGTGGCAAAGAAGGTAGCGATGCAGGACTGAAGGTGCTGCCTCAGTCCTGCACCGCAAGGCCTCGGTCCTCATTCTTATAGACAGCATGAGTCCTGGATCTATAACCCCTCCGTCTGTGGGAGCGGATCCCTACCTCAATGTGGGCCTCCCCAAGGTTTCTCATTTCCTCCCACTGAGTTTTTTTATTACTGATGCAGGAAGGTCCAAGGACAGCAGTGATGATCCAGGGCACTCAACATCCAACAACATTTATGGACCACTGTATGTTTTTTATCATTGCATTTCTGAACGGTTTGATTCTCTGATCTATGTTGGCGAATCAACGGTTTTGTAAAGTCCTCCGAGATCACTACTGTTGTGTTTTGAATTGAATTGAAGACAAAGGACATTACTGGATAATGACAGCGTAACGAGCCGTGGAGCTGTGTGTGGGGGAGTGAAGCTCTCTCAGAGTTTGGGCACGCGCTGCTCCTCACTTTATAATCTGACTCATAGATTTTTTTATTAATGATAAATTAATTATGTATTTAATACTTCTCACAGCTCTCTCCTCTGACTCCTCTCTTTGCTTTCCTCGCTCCAAGGTCTGTAAATCTAAATCTAAAATCCTCAAAGGGACTTTGTCTATCTACTTGTGGAGTGACTGTATCTAATGAACAATAGATTGTTTTGGTTTACTCCAGTCCATAAAGCACACTGGGGCCCTTTGCAACTATGTTTAAATGTGGGTTTACTGCAAATGGAAAATAAATGAATCTGAATCTGATCAATTATTCTATTCAGTTTTAGCAAATAGCAAAAGTGAGAAAAGGTAAGAAACCTTTTAGGACTTACTTTTGTTAAATTTCGTTAAAAAGCAGTCAATTTGAGGGCTCTGGGAGTTCCAGTAGTTTCCTAAAGTCCTGCTGCTTGAATGATGCAGGAGAGAGAGAGCGGATGTTGGTCTGATGCAGGATGCAGAGCTGCAGAACCAGCAGAGCAGATCTACAGCTTCAGACATAGTTGTAATCCTGAGTTTCAGGTTAGAGTGGTGTGAACAATACAAGTGTTTTGAGCCCGGGGGAATGGAGCTTTCACAACCACGTTCAGGAATGAGTGAAACACAATGTGGTATCTTGTTAAAATATAAACACAGTGGGCCTCATGTATGAAAGTTGCGTAGAAAAGGGTGTATATTTTGGGTGTATATTCCATTTACGCAAGATCCAACGTGGCATTTATGAACGTGTGAGATCCGCACAGATCTGAGCGTACGCACCTGCGGCTGTTGATAAATGCCGCACTCAAAACCAGCGTATTTATCAAAGTCACGCCTAGAAATATTCAGAAACGGCCTGTTCCACGCCCTGTTTTTGCGACAGGTCAGCAGGAAGTCAGCTAAGAAGACTGTTTGGGAGCCTCAAAAATACACACTTCTGAGATTATTCACGTAAAAAAAATATATATATATACGCGTTTTTCCCTGGTGTCTAGACCCACTGCAGCACTCATCTCTCCTGAAATTTAAAAGTAAATAAATAAATAATAAATGAATGAATGAATGAATGAACCAGTTCCCACATGCGCGTTGCATCCTATCTCTGCTGCGGAGAACAGGACAGTGGATGAGCAGTTTTGAGCAAGATCAATTGCGTTTATGGGGCTTTATGCACAAAACTAAGGAAAACCCACATTGCTTTGCCAGAGGTGAATGAGGCAAAACATATTATACGGCGCAGGGTCTGGTTAGTGAGTAAACGGCTAAAGAAAAATAACTTCAGGGAGCAGGAGATTGAGACCATTATGAACGAAGTGGGAAAAAGAATAAAGCCTTACTATTTGGAATTCTCAAAAGTGGCATCAAGGGGCTCAAAAAACAATATATGGAAAGAAATGACAGCATCTGTAAACAGTGTGGGGCCTGCAACATACACTTCTGAAGAGGTGAGTTTATTCATGTTCGAAGAAAAATACGCAATATTATATCAAACAGTTGATATATTGGGCCAATGGTTAGAATTCATTAATTTATGCTACAAGTGAAAAAAAAGGGAGCGACGGAATGAACGAGATCGCAGATACAAGCGGTCGAAATGAGCTTCCTCCGCAGAGTGGCTGGGCGCTCCCTTAGAGATAGGGTGAGTAGCTCAGTCACACGGGAGGAGCTCAGAGTAGAGCCGCTGCTCATTCACGTCGAGAGGAACCAGTTGAGGTGGCTCGGGCATCTGTTCAGGATGCCTCCCGGACGCCTCCCTGGGGAGGTGTTTCGGGCACGTCCCACCGGGAGGAGGCCCCAGGAAAGACCCAGGCCAGCTGAGAGACATAGTCCCTCCAGCGTGTCCTGGGTCTTCCCCGGGTCCTCCTCCCGTTGGGACGCGCCTTGGGGTCCCCCCGGATGAGCTGGAGGAAGTGTGTGTGGATAGGGAAGTCTGGGCGTCTCTGCTTAGACTGCTGCCCCCGCGACCCGGCAACGGATGAAGCGGAAGAAAATGGATGGATGGATGGATAGAATTCTTCCCGTGGATTTTCACCTGATCCACTTGGTATAGACCATGAATCCTCTCTGGTCTGGTCTGGACCAGTGTAAAACCATGAACACTGTACTGCAGCAACTGTTTCAGAGACACTTAGGACTTGCAGCCTTTTTCCAGCGCATTCAAAAGTCATTCATATGGTCAGGTAGGTAAGACTCAGGGAAGTCTAAACTCCTTAGACTGTCAGTCAAGCTGCATAGGGAGTCAGTTTCAGTCTGTACATTGCTATTCACCCGCTGTCACATTGTGTGTTTCATGGTCTGATGATGGGACCCCTGAATCCAGCCTCTTTTATCTGTCGGAGGGTTAAAAAACAAAAAGGAAAATGGGTAAAGTTGTGTCAAACCTGCCCTCCATAAACATCAGTCAACGTTGGATCGGTCCATATCCAGCCTTGGGTAAATGTTGGGTTAAAAATCCCCAAACCTTTAAAATGTGTAGTTTGATATTCGGTCCTACCTCCTCCGTTCTTGTAGCACAGGTAGGGGAACCTCCAGATGTTTCCAACGCCCACCACGTTACCAGCTGATGCCAGGATGTACTCCCGCTTGTGGCTCCACTGCTCTCTTTTACTGGCCATATCAACGTCCCCAGATTTATCCACAACCCGAAACAAGTGTATAAACTGTATCCACTGTCCCTAGATGGATATCCAGCCCAGTACAAGTTTGTAAAAGCTCTCTGCTGTCCCCAGATGTGTCTCCCGACCGGCAGCAGTGTGTGTAAGAGCTCCTCTCTTCACTGGTCTAATCTACTACCACAACTACAACTTTTACTCCTACTACTCCTTCCCCAGTGTCTTTGCTTCTGCCAAGAGACTGTAAATATTCGGCCCCGCCCACTCCTCCCTCTGTCCCTCGCATGTGTCAGCACCTGTTTACCGATTAGGTATTTGAATGCTCCTTTCACACAGAACTACAATTACATTTAACTGCAAAAGTAAATAGTTCAGGTATCTCTGCTTAAAGGTACAGTAGGTAAAGGGCACTCCTTCTATGTGTAAATCAGAGCAGTCAGTAATCTGAGCTGATACTGATGCGCAGCACCTGCTGAGCTGCAGTCCCAAAGGAGAGCCTTCCTGCTTTCTTCATTAGATGCTTTACTTTAAGTTTTCACCTGTTAAAAAGGGGTCTTTCGGTCATTACCATGGCAACAAACTCAAATTAAGTATCAAATTAACCTCTTGGATTTGTATTATTTTTAATGCTTTGACCTGACATTGATTTTATTTTTGCCCCAATGTGTCACGTGGTGGGAAGAAATCTGGACCCAAAAATGAGGGAATGCAACAATAATAATTATACAACAATCATAATTATGATCATTATTTTTATTTTATTATTTTTATGCATTTTTATTCTCTGGCTTTTAACACTGCGTGAGTTGTGTGATTTTTATTTTTATTTTTTTTAAATCGGATAACTAGTATTTTATTGTTTTTATTACATGTTTATTGTTAAGTGGTATTTCATTTTATCATTACATTTGTATTGGTTTTATTTTGTGCATAATGCTTTACTTAAAAAAAAAAATCTTGAGACTAGCAAACCTGAATGTGTTGATTTTATCTCTGTGCAGCACTTTGAACACTTCATCCATCCATCCATCCATTTCCTTCCCTTTAACCCATTTCTGGGTTGGGGGGGTGGCAGTCAGAGCTACACCCGGGTCACGGAGCACCAGCCCCTCACTGATCCTCCTGCAGGTGGTGAGTCCACAGGAGCCTTGGTCTTTCAGTGGGGGCTTCAGGCAAAGTGGGGTTAAGTGTCTTGCCCAAGGACACAACAACAGCAGTCATCAGTGGGAGTAGGGAAGTAGGTCTTGCGGTGGGCTCGAACCCACGACCTTCAGGCCCCAAAGCCAATGCTCTACCACCCACTTTGGAAACTTGTTTAATAAAAAATAAAGTGGATTGGATTGGATAATGAAGAATAAAGTCCAGGAAAAAAACCAACCACAAATCAAAAAGAACCAGGAACAGGAGAGACATTGACAATACAATGAACCAGCACCAAGGGGAGGGGAGCACACGGTGTCACATCAGGGCGGGGCCATGGGCGGGGCAGACAATCAAGACATGGGGACAAGACAGGAAGTAAGACTAAAAATGAAACCACAGGGTCAAAATAAATTCAAAGAACAAAAAAGAACAAAAAAAAACAATAGAAACAAAGAATTATACTCTCTTTTATCAGGTCCACAAACTATACAGTATCAGAAATTCCCGTTGTCATGGTGAAGGTCCTTGGTCACTGACGAGCATCTGTAAACTCCGCCCCTTCGACTGTAATTTTCAGAATCAGTTTTCTAGGAGGTCCTGGCCCCATTAGCTGCAGTTTCAAAAAGCACTAAATAAGTATGACGTATTGTTGTTATTGTTATTCATGTTAGTATTGATGAACTGCTTGGGGTTAATATCACACGTTGACATTCAATTCAATTAAATTTTTTCTGGTATAGCCCAAAATCACAACAGTAGTTATCTCGGAGGACACAAAACCATCCAGAATCAGTTCAAACACAGAAAATGCAATGATGAAAAACTTAAGGGGCAGATGAACAATGTCCATAAATGTTGATAAAGTCCATAAACAGACCACCTCGGACGGAGACAAATGCCCGGCGGTGGTTTGAGGGGACACAGGTGGTACCAGGAAACAGGTTGAGAGGGAGGCAGTGATGGGCGTAGATGAGGCATAGAATAAATAAAAACCTGATGAGTGGTGATGAACAGGGAGCAGGTCCTTTTGTGGGCCGGTCCAATCTGTCATGAGGTGAAGTGAATGAGGACCCTTGATGTGTCGTGACGGTTCGTGATTGGTCGTGATAGGTCCTGATGGGTTGTGATGGGTCCTAATGGGTTGTGATAGTTCGTGATAGGTCCTGATGGGTTGTGATAGTTCGTGATAGGTCCTGATGGGTTGTGATGGGTCCTAATGGGTTGTGATAGGTCCTGATGGGTCGTGATAGGTCCTGATGGGTTGTGATGGGTCCAGATGGGTCGTGATAGGTCCTGATGGGTTGTTATAGGTCCTGATGGGTCCAGATGGGTCGTGATAGGTCCTGATGGGTTGTGATAGGTCCAGATGGGTTGTGATAGGTCCAGATGGGTTGTGATAGGTCCAGATGGGTTGTGATAGGTCCTGATGGGTCGTGATAGGTCCTGATTATTTGTGATACGTCCAGATGGGTTGTGATTGGTCCTAATGGGTTGTGATAGGTCGTGATAGGTCCTGATTATTTGTGATACGTCCAGATGGGTCGTGATTGGTCCTGATGGGTTGTGATAGGTCCAGATGGGTTGTGATAGGTCCAGATGGGTTGTGATAGGGAGTGATAGGTCCTCATGGGTCGTGATAGGTCCAGATGGGTCGTGATTGGTCCTGATGGGTTGTGATAGGTCCTGATGGGCTGTGATACGTCCAGATAGGTCGTGATAGGTCCAGATGGGTTGTGATAGGTCCTGATGGGTCGTGATTGGTCCTGATGGGTTGTGATGGGTCGTGATGGGTCCTGATGGGTCGTGATAGGTCCAGATGGGTTGTGATGGGTCCTGATGGGTCGTGATAGGTCCTGATGGGTCGTGATAGGTCCTGATGGGTCGTGATAGGTCCTGATGGGTCGTGATAGGTCCTGATGGGTCGTGATAGGTCCAGATGGGTTGTGATGGGTCGTGGTAGGTCCTGATGGGTCGTGATAGGTCCTGATGGGTCGTGATAGGTCCTGATGGGTTGTGATAGGTCCTGATGGGTTGTGATGGGTCCTGATGGGTCGTGATAGGTCCTGATGGGTTGTGATGGGTCGTGATAGGTCCAGATGGGTCCTGATGGGTCGTGATAGGTCCTGATGGGTCGTGATAGGTCCTGATGGGTCGTGGTAGGTCCTGATGGGTTGTGATGGGTCGTGATGGGTCGTGATGGGTCGTGATGGGTCGTGATGGGTTGTGATGGGTCGTGATGGGTCGTGATGGGTTGTGATGGGTCGTGATGGGTCGTGATGGGTCGTGATAGGTCCTGATGGGTCGTGATAGGTCCTGATGGGTCGTGATAGGTCCTGATGGGTCGTGATAGGTCCTGATGGATCCTTTTTGGTCGTGATAGTTGTGATGGGTCGTCATGAAATCTTGATATATATAGTGTGTGTGTGTAGTGACCAGTACATTATAATTTTATCGTCATTGAAAATATATTCTTTATTAATACCGATGAATACTGATATATATCATAATAAAACACATGAATTAATGATTCAAACACAATCAAATGAAGTTTTCATTTCTGTAATTGTTCCTACGCACCAAGAGCCTCACCAACAATTCATTTTGCATTTGGAGCTTCAAGAAATGAACCTTTCCTCGAACCAGATGGAAACGGTTCAACACTTCATGAAGCTTCATCAAGCATCAGTACCAAGAACGTAAAAGAATGATTTCATGAAGATAATAAAATTAAAGTCCGGGGGAAAAACAGATAAAAAATCCAAAGCCAAACAAAACTCAGAAACCAGGAAAACAGACGACAACAGAGCAGCAACAAGGGGAGAGGAGCACAGGTACATATAGACACAGACAGACACAGGTGCATATAGACACAGAGAGACACAGGTGCATATAGACACAGAGAGACACAGGTGCATATAGACACAGACAGACACAGGTGCATATAGACACAGAGAGACACAGGTACATATAGACACAGAGAGACACAGGTGCATATAGACACAGAGAGACACAGGTGCATATAGACACAGACAGACACAGGTAAATTCGCCCCCCTTGAACCTTTCAACATTTCGCCACATTTCAGGCTTCAAACATAAAGATATAAAATTTAAATTTTTTGTCATGAATCAACAACAAGTGGGACACAATCGTGAAGTGGAACAAAATTTATCCATCCATCCATTTTCTACCCTTTAATCCATTTCTGGGTCAGGGGGGTGGCAGTCAGAGATGCCACCCAAGTCTCATAGCACCAGCCCCTCACTGACCCTCTGCAGGTGGTGAGTCCACAGGAGGACGGCTGCTCTCTGACTGTGAGCATAGCCTTGATCTTTCAGTGGGGGCTTTGGGCAAAGTGGGGTTAAGTGTCTTGCCCAAGGACACAACGACAGTAGTCATCAGTGGGAGTCGGTTGAGAAGGTGTAGAGGTGAGAATTGAACCCACAACCTTCTGGCCTGAAGGCCAATGCTCTACCAACTGAGCTACTGCAGTATAAATAAATAAACAAAATTTATTGGATAATTTAAACTTTTTTAACAAATAAAAAACTGAAAAGTGGGGCGTGCAATATTATTCGGCCCCTTTACTTTCAGTGCAGCAAACTCAGTCCAGAAGTTCAGTGAGGATCTTTGAATGATCCAATGTTGTCCTAAATGACTGATGATGATAAATAGAATGCACCTGTGTGTGATCAAGTCTCCGTATAAATGCACCTGCTCTTTGATAGTCTCAGGGTTCTGTTTAAAGCGCAGAGAGAACCATGAAGACAAAGGAACACACCAGGCAGGTCCGAGATACTGTTGTGGAGAAGTTTAAAGCCGGATTTGGATACAAAAAGATTTCCCAAGCTATAAACATCTCAAGGAGCACTGTGCAAGCAATTATATTGAAATGGAAGGAGTATCAGACCACTGCAAATCTACCAAGACCCGGCAGTCCATCCAAACTTTCATCTCAAACAAGGAGAAGACTGATCAGAGATGCAGACAAGAGGGCCATGATCACTCTGGATGAACTGCAGAAGACTGAAATGTATATATATATATATATATATATATATATATATATATATATATATAATTTATTATTCTATATAAAACTATAACAATGATAAAACTATAACAATCTCCTAATACTCCCGTAGTGTACTTTACAGAACCATACAGCAATATGCCCATTTTTAAGGAATCCTTACAAGTATATTTAAATATAAAAAAAAATGCAGAAAAAAAGGACTGCACTCTATGCGTACATCACAGGGGCAGGCTTTGATGCTAACGGAGTTAAGCCAGCGGCTTTTTGTGCAAAGTTCTTCTCCAATAATGCAGCTCTGCAGCGCCTCTGTGTCTGAGACCTTCACAGGTTTATTTTATTATTAAACGGTACTACAGCATCGGCGAACACGTTTGAAGCAGTTGCATAAAGTCACGGGAGCATGAAAACTCATATGTTCACAAGCACAGAGTCCCCCATTGTCAGCCCTGGTTTAGTCCTGGCTTTAGTCCTGGTTTAGTCCTGGTTTAGTCCTGGTTTAGTCCTGGGTTTAGTCCTGGTTCTGTCCTAGTTTAGTCCTGGTTTAGTGCTGGTTTAGTCCTGATGAAGCTCCTGTTTTGGCTGTATACAGTATGTTCAGTCTGCTCGCTCAGACTAATGCAGCTCTCTGATTGGTCGCTGCATGTGCGCCCCGAGGAAACGCTCAGCAATATTTATCTCCTGCATGCGTTGATTTTCCGCTCTTGCACCTCTGCCGCGGAGTTCATGTGTCACCATTGACTTTGCATTGAAAGTCGACGCAATGCATGATCCGGTGTGAAAGCACCATAAGTAATAAGTAGATACATGGAGTTATCACCTCAAACAAAGTGTGAAAAGCAATCACACTTATTCAGACTGCAGTAATTAATTAACAAACTACTTCTAAATGATTTTAAATAATTTTAAAGTTTCAAAAATATATTCAATAATGTATATTTTGTTATTAGATAAAATAAGAGGGGGGTTAATCTGGCCTAAAGGGGGTTAAAATAGCCTAGGCCAGAATAAACCCCGGGGTATATTCTGGCCTAGGCTATTTTAACCCCGGGGTTTAAAACGGCCTGTTACACCGGTTCTATTATTCTATGGTCACGCCATCCACGTTCAAATGTGCGATCCATATTGTGAGGGGTGAGCTCCGTAAACAGCACATGTGAGGCTGAGGCGGAGAGGGGTAGTGGGGGGCGATAGCTCTGTGAGTGCGGGGAGGGCGAGCAGAAAGAGCGAGGCCAGCGCTCACATTCGAAAGTGAGTTAGTGCAGCTTTAAGTGCTTTCTTTATCAAGTTTTGACACAACTCTGAACCAGGGAGTCTCGGTTGCCCTTTTGGCCTCTTGACCAGGCTCGAGAGGGCAATACCAGCCGTGACAAAATTGATAATCCCAAAACAAAGTCAAAGTCAAGTTTATTTGTATTGTATTCCTACAAGAGTACCATAACATTTTTGAAGAGAGCTCATAATGTGATAACTATTAAAACGAGGGTTACGTATGTAACCACGGTTCTATGAATCCCGAATGACCGCCAGAGGGCGGTGCATAGCACTGAATGTTCCCTTCGCGCATGCGCAGTTCGAGTAATAATACCAAATGAGTCACACCTGTGACCCCTTGGATGACACACCGGAGGTAATAAAGTCCAGCGTCATCCAGCACTCTGTTCCTGCAGAAACTTCTTGCGGACGCAAGGACCCTGAGTGACAGAGCGCCTCTGGCGGTCATTTCAAAAAATGGTTAGCAGGCGCTGGCGGTCACAGCATAGCGATAGCGGTCACAGATTCATAGAACCGTGGTTCAGCTTAGCGATAGCGGTCACAGAATAGAGTAGTCACGACGTCTGTCCCCTCCAAACCAGGCTTCGAAAACTCCATCAACACGCAGCCTTTTTGGGGATTGTGCGCGCTCATCGCAAGAGCCTTTCCGATCCGAAGGCCGCACCGGGACCTAGGGCGCCAAACCTCCTTTCATAAAATACTCAACTTCCGGTTTCTCGTCTCTCCAAATTGAATTCATTTATAGACTGATTCACAGCTATTGTTAGTACTGGAGTTAGAATCATTTTGTGTTCTTTTAAAAGAAATGTATCAAGTCCAAAAATATCCTTTGCTTTACTATTTTTTAAATTTGCTATTATTTTGGAAATATTGTCTTCCTCTATACTCTGCAACCTACAGCGAGACTGTAGGTTGCAGAGGGCATTTCCATCCCCAAGATCATCTCTGCAGCAGTTTACTTCAGAAAAAGCCTCTGCCAGGTCTACCACAGAATCCAAGAAATAATCATTGAAATGTTTAGCCAGAATAGAGCCCTCATTTTGAACTATTCCATTAATTTTGAGCTGTAAGTGCTCCGGATATATTTTTTTTCCTTCCCAATAGTTTATCCATGCTCCTCCACAGATTTTTACAATTACCTTTTGCCTCTTTGATTAAGTCAAGAAAAAAATTTGCTTTTGCTTTTCGAAGCAGCATGGTAACTTTATTTCTCATAGATTTATAGATGTAATGATCAGTGGTTAGTTTACTTTTTAATGAAACCTTGAGAGCTTTATCTCTATGTTTCATTGTGTCCCAGAGAGATTTATTAAACCACGGGAGCCTCTTTTTATTTGATTTTCTATGTTTGAGCTGTATGTCTGGACCAGTGTAAAACCATGAATCCTCTCTGCTCTGGTCTGGACCAGTGTAAAACCATGAATCCTCTCTGCTCTGGTCTGGACCAGTGTCAAACCATGAATCCTCTCTGCTCTGGTCTGGACCAGTGTCAAACCATGAATCCTCTCTGCTCTGGTCTGGACCAGTGTCAAACCATGAATCCTCTCTGCTCTGGTCTGGACCAGTGAAAAACCATGAACACTGAACTGCAGCAACATCTCAGGCAGAAAAAAGCAAGAAAAAAATATACCAAATATACGCCGTTTTAAAGCAAACAAGCGGACGAACGCAACCATTGGATTATCAGCATCATGGGGTCACCCACCCCCTCCATAGGACCCCATTCCTTTCACTGGGACTACAGCAGGATTTGGGGAGCAGCGTCTCGCGGTGCAGGTCACAGATGGTCACAGATTCGCCCAGTCATTACTCGTTGGGAAAGCAATAGGCCCTTACCCCAGTTGGGGCCTAATAAAAATTGTAAAGCACAAAACAACTGTTTCAGAGCTACTTAGGACTTGCAGCCGTTTTCCAGCGCATTCAAAAGTAAACTGATCTCGTCGTGTCGCTCATTACCCAAAGACCATGACCAGAAATGAGGGAATTGGGAGCTCTCACTGCAGACGCTGCTCCCTCTTCACCACAACAGTTTGATACAGCTCTGACTGAAGAACATAGAGCTGCGACATATGAGACATAGAGCTGAGACATATGAGACGTAGAGCTGAGACATATAAGACATAGAGCTGAGACATATGAGACATAGAGCTGAGACATATGAGACATAGAGCTGAGACATATGAGACGTAGAGCTGAGACATATGAGACATAGAGCTGAGACATATGAGACATAGAGCTGAGACATATGAGACGTAGAGCTGAGACATATGAGACATAGAGCTGAGACATATAAGACATAGAGCTGAGACATATGAGACATAGAGCTGAGACATATGAGACATAGAGCTGAGACATATGAGACGTAGAGCTGAGACATATGAGACATAGAGCTGAGACATATGAGACATAGAGCTGAGACATATGAGACGTAGAGCTGAGACATATGAGACGTAGAGCTGAGACATATAAGACATAGAGCTGAGACATATGAGACATAGAGCTGAGACATATGAGACATAGAGCTGAGACATATGAGACGTAGAGCTGAGACATATGAGACATAGAGCTGAGACATAGAGCTGAGACATATGAGACATAGAGCTGAGACATAGAGCTGAGACGTAGAGCTGAGACATATGAGACATAGAGCTGAGACATAGAGCAGAGACATAGAGCAGACAAAGTGTAGACCTCACCTGCCACATCCAAATCGACCTTGAAGTTGATGAAGTGCGTGTGAATGTTGCCCAGCACGTTGTGCGCCACCTGGTGTCCGTGTTTGAGACTTCCGGCCACGAGGAAGGAGGAGGAGATGTATCCTGTGGCGTGCACCTTGGCCTCCACGGCCCCACTCTGGTAGAAGATGAAGTCCCACATGTAGTCGTAGTTCCCGATGGCAGTGATGGTCCTGAAGACCAAGGCGCTGTTCACCATCCCGCCGTAACTGTGGCTGAAGAAGTCTGCGAAGTGTCTGCGCAGCGGCTGGCCCAGAGACAGCTCAAAGACGCAGATGGAGTTCCGGTAGCGACCCGCCTCTGCCACGTCTATGTACCTGTACGTGTCCACGTACGTGGCCTCGTACGGACAGTCCACGCCGCGCACCAGCTCGTGTGCGAAGCGGCCGATGCCGATGCTGGAGTCCAGGAACTTAGTCATGCCCATCCCCGGGGTCACGGAGCCGTACACGGACATGGCCTCCTGCACGCTCAGCTCGTACAGCACGCGCTCGTCTTTGAAGCGCACGTCGAACACGCGCATGCCCGTGAGCGAGCTCAGGCCAAAGGCGAAGCTCCAGTCCATGTACAGCACATGGTTGTGACTGACACTGTAGCGCGGGCCCTCGGGGCTCACGAGCTGCGGGCCCACCTGCAGGGGTCTGCTGCGGGGCTTCAGGGAGCCGTAGTCCTCCCACGGAGACGCAGACAACTTCTGTACGGAGCCCGCGCGGTACGCGTCCAGCAGCGCGTTCACGGACTCGAAGTACTGGCCGTTGTACAGGAGGCGCTCCACGCTCCACTGGGAGGGGTCAGTGCTCAGGTGGTTCAGCAGCACCTCGAAGCCCGCGGGCTGGATGTACATCCCGCTCTGGTCACGGAAGAACGAGATCCAGGTCTTGCGCTCTCCGGAGCGCACTCCGCGCGGCATCTGTTCAAACGCATTGAGCCGATGTTTGTGATCTGCGCCGAAACTCTCATGGAGGACTTTGGCCAGAGGCAAGAAGACCCTCTGCTCCAGGAGCTTGAAGATGAGGATATACTCTCCAATGGTGACGGGGCGCGCGCTGAGCGGCAGCTCTGCCTTGTAGTCTTGGGCCGTCACGTCGCGGTGGTCGGAGGGCTTGGGCAGGGGTCCCACCACATACTCTTTAATGAAGCCTGTGGAGCCGTGGAACACCACCACTGTGGCCTCTCTGCGCGGAGCAGGGCCGTGCGCGTCAAGGTGCGCTAAGACCTCAGACTTCGCGGGCACGCGCAGATCTATCAAAAACAGAAAGTTCTCGTCAGGTCTCGTGCTCTGGCGCGTGGAGATGTTGAGCTCCTTCTGCCGCAGCATGTAGTCCTGGACCTGCGCGTACTCGTCCCGGCTCAGGTCCGCGAACACGCGGCTGCGCGCCTCATGTTTGCCCTTGGGCGCGTGCACGCTGCGGGTCGCGCACGTGGGTGTCCTGCGGGAGTATCCCACGATCAGAGCGAGGTTCAGGAGCACGGAGAAGAGCACCAGGAGCCCCACGGCCCACTTCAGTAGAGAGTTCATCTTAAGTCTGCAGCAACACACTGACGCACGGAGCCAGAGGCGCGAGGTGCGACCCCCGCCCCGCCCACAGCTGTACGACCCCCCCGTGACCCCCACAGGGCTGATAGTCCTGACAGTCCTCTCACTGCTCTCCCATCCGTGCAGAGAGGGCTAATAAACCTATGGACCAGGAGTTACACACGCGCGCACACACCCACGCACACACACACGCGCACACACACCCACGCACACACACACGCGCAGATCTATCAAAAACAGAAAGTTATCGTCAGGTCTCGTGCTCTGGCGCGTGGAGATGTTGAGTTCCTTCTGCCGCAGCATGTAGTCCTGGACCTGCGCGTACTCGTCCCGGCTCAGATCCGCGAACACGCGGCTGCGCGCCTCATGTTTGCCCTTGGGCGCGTGCACGCTGCGGGTCGCGCACGTGGGTGTCCCCCCGCCCCGCCCACAGCTGTACGACCCCCCCGTGACCCCCACAGGGCTGATAGTCCTGACAGTCCTCTCACTGCTCTCCCATCCGTGCAGAGAGGGCTAATAAACCTATGGAACAGGAGTTACACACGCGCGCACACACACACGCACACACACACACACACACACTATTACCTGTTCTTCAGGTGGTTAATAGACTAAAGAGTGTGTGGTGACAGGTTTTACAGCCTTGATACTTAAACAGAGCTGCTATTACTTTTAGAACATGACCTGTGGTGTCACATGGGTGAGAAAACAAGGAGACCCAAATCAAAAGTAACCAAACCGGGAACAAGGATAAGAACTGAAACAGATGAGGATTGACACTGACGGAACCGGGAGCGAAGGAACAAGACTAATGAGTAGGGTTGGGCACCGTTTGCAATTTTCCGATTCCGATTCCGATTCCGGTTCCGGTTCCGATTGTCACTATCGATTCCTGTTCTAAACGATTCTCGATTCCGATTCTTTGAGGTGCAGGAGAGAAAAAAAAAAGATAATTTTTTATCAAATTTTATTTCATAAGTACTTTTCCTGCCATAAGGCAACAGAAAGTGCTTTACATAAAAACAAATTAAATTAAAAAACAAGGAACACGAACACACACACACACACACACACACACACACACACACCCACACAAGCGGTGTTTATGTGGCACCGCCCACCATCATCTCAGAGCGGCTAAAATGTAAACACGTCTCTGTAAACCGCTGAAAAACGGCTAAAGTGAGAATACTGGAGGATTATCGTTGGACGGACTGACAGATTTGACCAAAGCACAAGGACTCGTGCATTGTGTTTTCGGAGTTTTTTACGGATTATTACATGGAGGAGGAGCAGGACTTTTTACGGTCCTCGGCAGGTGGACAGCGTGTTTCCCTTCTTCATCATTACAAAGGGCCTGACCAGTAACTTTAAGGTAAGGAACATCAGTTTTGGATGTGTTTGTAAAGCGAGTGATGAAACTGATGTAGCGTGAGTTTGGGGAAACTGCAGCGGGCTAGCACGAGTGTTCAACCGGTCAATACGCCCGTTAAACCTCGCTGTCTGGACTCTAACTTAACCAAATAATATCTGAATTAGTCATTTGACGGATAAATGTTTGCTTCCTTTACCCCTTGACTCAGTTTTATCTGCGTTTGTGGAAAATGTGAAGATACAAGCGTTGAGAGGTTTCTTTGCGATGGCAGGAGTTAACGGTGTGGCTGAAGCTAAATGTGGATGCAAACACGAGTGCGCCGTCTCATAAGAGCTTAATTCACTGAGTTTTTCACAAAACGTAATAAAGCCCTGGCTTTATTACGCTGGGTGGACAGCTGCTAAGCATTTTTGAAACGTGTCCCCCCCCCCACCTTCCAAACGCTTCCGACGCCGCTGTGCGGGCCGCATCCGGCATTTAGGAATCGAAAAAAGAATCAAAATACAAACGTCTTCTTAACGGTTCCGGAACCGCACTTTAGGAACCGGTTCCAAATAGGAACCGGTTCTCGGTGCCCAACCCTACTAATGAGACACAGGCGACACACATCAGGGCAGGTCATCAACAGGAAGTACAGCTTGGACACAGGGAGTAACAATTAACAACATAAAAGAAGAAATAAACCTAAACCATGACACATGGAGCGCTGTACATGCTAATATCTACTGTCTATGACATCAATGATATTCCTGTTATTAATGACTGTTTTGAGCTTTTATAGGCCGTGTCCCAGCACTCGCACCTCCACCCTCAGATTCATTTATTTGCCATTTGCAGTAAAACCACATTGGAAAAACTGTCCAAGACTACCCCAGTGTGCACCAGACAGAGAAGACGGTACACACCAGAGCTCTTGCCTCGATGATTGGTGCGACTGCTGGTGTCCCAATTCTCCAGGGAGGTCTTTGGCCCCGCCCCCATTTGCGCCCCTGATCCACACTCTAGCGTAGCCTGCATCGAAGCGGACTCTGGGTAAGGATATTGCCCATAATTCTTTGCGGTACACACCAAACCTTCGGGAAAATGCATTCAAGTGTACGTTTTGACATATATTTGCTGTATGTGTGTACATAAGTTTTGCTGTTACTTGGAAAGAAGCATAAATGTCTGATGAAGACGGACATTATATGCTAACAATTTCATCACTTTTTTTAATGCAACCATTCATATAACATTCCATTAAAACTTAACACTTAGTACACTAATCTTAGGATGTATAAAAACTGACCAGATAACAGTTAGTTACCCACATTTAACTTTAAATTATACAGCTATCTCGAATTACAAATAACCAATATACATTTATTTTAACGTGTGTGGAGAAACTTATTAACTACTACTTTTGTTTCCCACAGGGTCGGACGAAATGACCTTTAATTTTAATCTCTTGACTAGTCCATGACGTAACCTGCACTGTCCCAATTCCGCCTTTTTTGCTTTTAACCTGCCACTCAAACCCTTGCGTGCTCTTCAAACAAATGCACACTTGGTAGGGGAGTGTGGGGTGCAGTGTGGGTATTGGGACTTGGCCAAAGAGAGGTCACAGAATGTGCTTAAGCTGAGACATATTCAACAGGACATCATATCTTAAAATCCAAAAAATTATTTACTAAATTAGTTGATAGCAATTTCAGTGATAAATTAGTTGCGAATAACTCTTTCTACCTACTTTCAACTGATCCAACCTAACTACACTTCTTATCTTCATTCATTCGATTTGTTCCCTTTATCAAACCATTTCTGGGTCAGGGACAATCAGAGCTGCCCCAGTCCTCACAGCACCGGCCCCTGAGTCTCCTGCAGGTGGTGAGTCCAGAGGAGGATGGCTGCTCCGACAGTGATGACACGCCTTTGGTCTTGCATCAGGGGACTTTCGGGACAAGCGCAGTAGCTGAGAACAAACATAAACAACAATAGCTCTGTGCAACTAATGCTACGTGTGCTTTGAGCCGCTACACCAGGGGTGGCTAACCCGCGGCTCGTGAGCCGCATGCGGCTCTTTGGCTGATTCCGTGCGGCTCTCGGGCTTCCACGCGACAAGCGTCAAAAACGCCTCGGTGGTGGCGCTGCCATTCATTCTCTATGTAGTTCTGACCCATAGTGAAGGCCGACTTCACTCCACTTGCCAGGCCACCAAAACAATCTGACGTCAGCGAACGTCAATTCTGATTGGTCAGATGCGCTGTCAATCACTCTGCAGCTGCTGCCTCAGCTGTTGCAAATATCATAACAAACAACATGTTGCCTCGACCCATGACGTCCGTACGGAAAACAATTCCTTGGTCGCTGGATGAGGGCAACACCTTCCTCAGTTTGAGGAGAGGACACCAGCGTGAGCTCAATGGTTCCACCAGAAACCAGAAGGTGTTTGTGGAGCTAGCACTAAGGACGGAGCAGAATGATTCCCACAAACATGACAATGCAGAGAAAAGTTAAAAAGCCTAAAAGTGACAACCGTGAAATGAAAGATCGCAGCAGCAGAAGTAGAGGCAGACCCGAAAAGTCTGGAGGTGGTTTGACCAAATGGATTACATTTACGGACATCGGCTAACAACGGCTAACATGCTACACCAGAAGACAAGCCACCTCTGCCTGGTGAGTGTCTGTCTTCAATCAAATGCAAAAGTATCTGGTCTTATACTGAACATGTGTCTGTGGTTCTAAATCAGCTAAAGTGCTGTTGGTGTTATGTGTCAAGACAGTTGTGTTTCTGCTGAACACTGGGTTGAAACTTGATTTTTTTTCTTGGTTAGAGATTGAAAGCATTCATTTCGGAATCATAATTGATGTTCGCTGACGTCAGATTGTTCTGGTATCGACTCGCCCGGTTAGAACCAGGGCCAAACCATTAATAAAAAGTACCGGGGAGCGGTTGAAGCGAGCGGTAGAAGCCCTTTAGTACTGCACAAGTCAATTTCTGTCATTATCATGTTGATGACATTTACAATAAATCTGTCTGAGCAGAGCACACCTCTCTCTGCTCAGACAGGTTGCATGTGTGTGTGTGTGCGCGTGTCTGCTCGTGTGCGTACGTGCGCGTGTGCGTGCGTGTGTAAGGGTTGGGGTGATGTTTATGTAGTGCACATTTGTATGATGTGGCTCTTTGCTGTAACACGGTAAAAAAAATTGGTTCTTAGTCTCTGACTGGTTGGCCACCCCTGCGCTACACAGAGAATTCTACTCCTTCGTCCAAACCAAACCAAGCAAAGCTGTAGTTTCAGTTCATCATCCTCAGGCCACGGCAAAGACCCAAAAATTTTGCCGTGGCCTGAGGATGATGTTGGTTCTTTGCGGTGGCCTGAGGATGATGTTGGTTCTTTCCCGTCTTTACCGTGGCCTGAGGATGATGTTGATTCTTTCCCGTCTTTACCGTGGCCTGAGGATGATGTTGGTTCTTTCCCGTCTTTGCCGTGGCCTGAGGATGATGTTGGTTCTTTCCCGTCTTTACCGTGGCCTGAGGATGATGTTGGTTCTTTGCGGTGGCCCGGAGGATGATGTTGGTTCTTTCCCGTCTTTACCGTGGCCTGAGGATGATGTTGGTTCTTTCCCGTCTTTACCATGGCCTGAGGATGATGTTGGTTCTTTGCGGTGGCCGGAGGATGATGTTGGTTCTTTCCCGTCTTTGCCGTGGCCTGAGGATGATGTTGGTTCTTTCCCGTCTTTGCCCTGGCCTGAGGATGATGTTGGTTCTTTCCCGTCTTTACCGTGGCCTGAGGATGATGTTGGTTCTTTCCCGTCTTTACCGTGGCCTGAGGATGATGTTGGTTCTTTGCGGTGGCCGGAGGATGATGTTGGTTCTTTCCCGTCTTTACCGTGGCCTGAGGATGATGTTGGTTCTTTCCCGTCTTTGCCCTGGCCTGAGGATGATGTTGGTTCTTTCCCGTCTTTGCCGTGGCCTGAGGAGGATGTTGGTTCTTTCCCGCCTTTGCCCTGGCCTGAGGATGATGTTGGTTCTTTCCCGTCTTTGCCGTGGCCTGAGGATGATGTTGGTTCTTTCCCGTCTTTGCCCTGGCCTGAGGATGATGTTGGTTCTTTCCCGTCTTTACCGTGGCCTGAGGATGATGTTGGTTCTTTCCCGTCTTTACCGTGGCCTGAGGATGATGTTGGTTCTTTGCGGTGGCCGGAGGATGATGTTGGTTCTTTCCCGTCTTTACCGTGGCCTGAGGATGATGTTGGTTCTTTCCCGTCTTTGCCGTGGCCTGAGGATGATGTTGGTTCTTTCCCGTCTTTACCGTGGCCTGAGGATGATGTTGGTTCTTTGCGGTGGCCGGAGGATGATGTTGGTTCTTTCCCGTCTTTACCGTGGCCTGAGGATGATGTTGGTTCTTTCCCGTCTTTACCGTGGCCTGAGGATGATGTTGGTTCTTTGCGGTGGCCGGAGGATGATGTTGGTTCTTTCCCGTCTTTGCCGTGGCCTGAGGATGATGTTGGTTCTTTCCAGTCTTTGCCCTGGCCTGAGGATGATGTTGGTTCTTTCCCGTCTTTACCGTGGCCTGAGGATGATGTTGGTTCTTTCCCGTCTTTACCGTGGGCTGAGGATGATGTTGGTTCTTTGCGGTGGCCGGAGGATGATGTTGGTTCTTTCCCGTCTTTACCGTGGCCTGAGGATGATGTTGGTTCTTTCCCGTCTTTACCGTGGCCTGAGGATGATGTTGGTTCTTTGCGGTGGCCGGAGGATGATGTTGGTTCTTTCCCGTCTTTACCGTGGCCTGAGGATGATGTTGGTTCTTTCCCGTCTTTGCCCTGGCCTGAGGATGATGTTGGTTCTTTCCCGTCTTTGCCGTGGCCTGAGGAGGATGTTGGTTCTTTCCCGCCTTTGCCCTGGCCTGAGGATGATGTTGGTTCTTTCCCGTCTTTACCATGGCCTGAGGATGATGTTGGTTCTTTGCGGTGGCCGGAGGATGATGTTGGTTCTTTCCCGTCTTTGCCGTGGCCTGAGGATGATGTTGGTTCTTTCCCGTCTTTGCGGTGGCCTGATGATGATGTTGGTTCTTTCCCGTCTTTGCCCTGGCCTGAGGATGATGTTGGTTCTTTCCCGTCTTTGCCCTGGCCTGAGGATGATGTTGGTTCTTTGCGGTGGCCTGAAGATGATGTTGGTTCTTTCCCGTCTTTGCCGTGGCCTGAGGAGGATGTTGGTTCTTTCCCGTCTTTGCCATGGCCTGAGGATGATGTTGGTTCTTTCCCGTCTTTACCGTGGCCTGAGGATGATGTTGGTTCTTTCCCGTCTTTGCGGTGGCCTGAGGATGATGTTGGTTCTTTCCCGTCTTTGCCGTGGCCTGAGGATGATGTTGGTTCTTTCCCGTCTTTGCCCTGGCCTGAGGATGATGTTGGTTCTTTGCGGTGGCCGGAGGATGATGTTGGTTCTTTCCCGTCTTTGCCGTGGCCTGAGGATGATGTTGGTTCTTTCCCGTCTTTGCCCTGGCCTGAGGATGATGTTGGTTCTTTCCCGTCTTTACCGTGGCCTGAGGATGATGTTGGTTCTTTCCCGTCTTTACCGTGGCCTGAGGATGATGTTGGTTCTTTCCCGTCTTTGCAGTGGCCTGAGGATGATGTTGGTTCTTTCCCGTCTTTGCCGTGGCCTGAGGATGATGTTGGTTCTTTCCCGTCTTTACCGTGGCCTGAGGATGATGTTGGTTCTTTGCGGTGGCCGGAGGATGATGTTGGTTCTTTCCCGTCTTTACCGTGGCCTGAGGATGATGTTGGTTCTTTCCCGTCTTTACCGTGGCCTGAGGATGATGTTGGTTCTTTGCGGTGGCCGGAGGATGATGTTGGTTCTTTCCCGTCTTTACCGTGGCCTGAGGATGATGTTGGTTCTTTCCCGTCTTTGCCCTGGCCTGAGGATGATGTTGGTTCTTTCCCGTCTTTGCCGTGGCCTGAGGAGGATGTTGGTTCTTTCCCGTCTTTGCCCTGGCCTGAGGATGATGTTGGTTCTTTCCCGTCTTTACCGTGGCCTGAGGATGATGTTGGTTCTTTCCCGTCTTTGCGGTGGCCTGATGATGATGTTGGTTCTTTCCCGTCTTTGCCCTGGCCTGAGGATGATGTTGGTTCTTTCCCGTCTTTGCCCTGGCCTGAGGATGATGTTGGTTCTTTGCGGTGGCCTGAAGATGATGTTGGTTCTTTCCCGTCTTTGCCGTGGCCTGAGGAGGATGTTGGTTCTTTCCCGTCTTTGCCATGGCCTGAGGATGATGTTGGTTCTTTCCCGTCTTTACCGTGGCCTGAGGATGATGTTGGTTCTTTCCCGTCTTTGCGGTGGCCTGAGGATGATGTTGGTTCTTTCCCGTCTTTGCCGTGGCCTGAGGATGATGTTGGTTCTTTCCCGTCTTTGCCCTGGCCTGAGGATGATGTTGGTTCTTTCCCGTCTTTGCCGTGGCCTGAGGATGATGTTGGTTCTTTCCCGTCTTTGCCCTGGCCTGAGGATGATGTTGGTTCTTTCCCGTCTTTGCGGTGGCCTGAGGATGATGTTGGTTCTTTCCCGTCTTTGCCGTGGCCTGAGGATGATGTTGGTTCTTTCCCGTCTTTGCCCTGGCCTGAGGATGATGTTGGTTCTTTGCGGTGGCCTGAGGATGATGTTGGTTCTTTCCCGTCTTTGCCCTGGCCTGAGGATGATGTTGGTTCTTTCCCGTCTTTGCGGTGGCCTGAGGATGATGTTGGTTCTTTCCCGTCTTTGCCGTTTTGTTCTACAATTGTATAATAATAATAATGCATCAGTTTAATATTGCGTTTTTTGGACGCTCAAAGACACTTCTCATGTTTTTATTAGTTCACTCCATACACAGTATTGATAAGCAACTACTGTAGTCACAACTGCCCTGGGGCACACTGACAGAAGCAAGGCAACCAGTCTGTGCCATCTGCCCCTCTGACCACCACCAACCATTCACACACACACCAGACTAAAGACACAATGACAGTTTGGCGCTTCACAGCCGCGGCTGCCCCACTGTGGCACCTGGTGTCCCCAGAGGTCTCCCATCACAGTACTAACCAGGCCCTGCACTCCTCAGCTTCAGAGGTCTGACAGAAATAGGCTCTCACATGCACCATATGGCGTCCTATACTATGTGAGCCACCATGTGTCTGTGTGGATCAGAACGTTTCGTTTGAAACATTCATTGGAGCTTGTCTGATGCATGCACTGGACCCGAGTTCCTGTGGGCTCTCAGGGGCCCCTCCCTCTCTGTGGGGACACATCACACAGGTCCAGCTGGAGCCTTGCATCCGGAGCACAGCTGGACATGATGTGAGCGCTTCAATTCCATTTCAATTCAGTGTATTCTTGTTTAGCCATAAATCACAACAGTAGTTGTCTCTGAGGACTTTACAAAACAGACACAGGAGCCATTGGTCCAAAAGGGGCATGACCAATGTCCATGAATGTTGATCAATGTCCGTACATGTGAATGTGGAGGGTCCTGGATCATCACCACTGTCCTTAGACCCTTCTGCATCGACAATGAATAACTCTGTGGGAAAAAGTGAGAAACTGGAACAGTCTTCTTGAGAATGTGAGACAGGCGTATAAACTCCGGCAGTTTTCAAATCTAGGTTTAAGACAGTTCAGTTTGGCTCCAACTGAAGAATTTACTTGATGTGGTTTTAATGTTTTAACGTTTTAAATTAATTGTTTTTGAGGTTTGTGATTTATACTTGATGTGATTTGGGTTGTGAGGCGCTTTCTGCTGCAGTTAATTAATAATGTTTTCAATCCTAAACCTTGAATGAACAAGGAAAGAAATGAATACATAGATCTATAAATCTATGTATCTGTCAATCTCCCACAACTAGAACACCCAGAGCCGTCATTTTGACTGCTCCCATTCAAACCAATGGAGTTCTGTCCACAAGTTGTACAGTATAAGGAGATAGTAATGTATAAGTTTACTTTTTCCTTAACTCACTTTTTCCTTAACTCACTTTTACTCAGAGCTAAAGCAGTTTGCTAAAGGCGCAATGCTAAAGACTGAATGCTAACGGCTGAATGCTAACGGCTCACGGTAAACGTAGCGTTGCTATAGTAACCAGCACTTACTCTTAAAATTTAAAGATGATGTCATAAACATTTGGACAAACATAAACTACTTACATATACAGAAAAAGTCAAAGTTAAAAAGACCGGAAAGGTACAACAACAACAAAGTGGTTGCTTTGTGCTTTTGAATTTTTATTTTTATTTCTTTTTTTCTACCTGAGATGTTTCTGCAGTACAGTGTTCATGGTTTTACACTGGTCCAGACCAGTGCAGAGAGGATTCATGGTTTTACACTGGTCCAGACCAGAGCAGAGAGGATCATGGTCCGAACCAAGTGGATCAGGTGAAAATCCCCTTCAGGAATGCTAACTTTTTGAAAAATGCTAATGAAGCATTTATCATTTTACTTTGGACCAGAGCAAAGAAAATGGTCTGAACCAAACGGCTACTGCTCCTTGTGACCCGTCCTGCTCCACCCAGAGGCTACTCCACCTCTGCTGCTGTGACCCGTCCTGCTCCACCCAGAGGCTACTCCACCTCTGCTGCTGTGACCCGTCCTGCTCCACCCAGAGGCTACTCCACCTCTGCTGCTGTGACCTGTCCTGCTCCACCCAGAGGCTACTCCACCTCTGCTGCTGTGACCTGTCCTGCTCCACCCAGAGGCTACTCCACCTCTGCTGCTGTGACCTGTCCTGCTCCACCCAGAGGCTACTCCACCTCTGCTGCTGTGACCCGTCCTGCTCCACCCAGAGGCTACTCCACCTCTGCTGCTGTGACCCGTCCTGCTCCACCCAGAGGCTACTCCACCTCTCCTGCTGTGACCCGTCCTGCTCCACCCAGAGGCTACTCCACCTCTGCTGCTGTGACCTGAAGGACTGTTGCTGATTATTACTATTTTTAACTTTTTAGAATGATCAATTTTATTTTTTATTTTTGCTGCTTCTGGACACCTGAATTTCTCCCATGGGGATCAATAAAGTATCTTTTAAGTCACTTTGTATGTACAGGAATAATCACACTTTACAAACTATAAAAGCCGTCATTTTGACTGCTCTGGGAGTTCTAGCTTTAAACCATGATAGACCCGTAAACTGTGAATGATGACTCTGTTCTGTTGTTGACTATTTTGACGGAGCCCTGTGTGTCCTTGAACCCTCACACGCCCAAAGTCAAATCTGCCTTTTTTGTTTACGATGCCCCGCACTCAGATTAAACAATAAGGTGAAGTTGGCTCCTGACAAAGCCCCTAAGAATAACTCCACATCCTTCCTCCTTTATCACTTCTGACAACAACCTCCGAAACCCTTGCACCCAATCCGCTTCCTCTCCAAACGCACGTATCGCCACATTCTTCACACGGACACAAGTTGCAGATGATCCGGTCCATTTAAGGACACATACGCACAATCATTAACATTTGTGGTCATTCCAATCCCTATGGACCAGTGGCTCTTATGTGTTTGTTACTATTGCATTTCCTGTGTCCTGTTTGATTGATCTGTTGTTGGAAGGGGGGGCGAGTCCCGGCTCAAAAGTGGCCAAAATGACGTGCGCTGACATGCTTGCAAAACCACCCCGGGCCGATGGGGGTAGACCCAGAATAAGAATTAGCCAATGCTAACATATAGCATTGGCAGAGCTCTCGAAAATGACTTTACAGGATGGTCCAAAAGTTGGCTCTTGGCCCAAAGCTCCGTTCCACATGTGTGTCAATGCTGAGGGGGGTGACTGTTTTTAGACCAGTCTAGTTTACTCGCTGTGAATTTTTGAAGTCTTGCGTTTAAATGGGACTCGTGACGGCTGACGCATGAGCAGATGCGTTTTTTCACATTTTCCAGTCCCCGCGGCCATTTTGAATCACTCCATGAGAGCCCAATGTTTGGCCCATTAGTTAGAACGGCGGAGATAGGCGTGACTACGTCCATTAATATATACAGTCTATGGTTGTTGGCCAATCGACAACTTTGTAAAGGCCTCAGAGACTGTGTATATTTAGGTATATTTGCAAATACAATGGTCTGAATTGAAATCAAACTAGAAATTAGGCATCTTTAAGAGTCCAAAAAAGCGCTATATTAGTTTGATCTATTATTCTTCTTCTTATTATTGTTATTATAACTTCCGGAGCAGTCAATTTGACGGCTTTTCGTTTTGGATTATGTACGATTTTAGTTTTTTCTGTGAATTTTTCTGTTTCTTTTTTGTTTTGGTTATTTCCACGTCATTATGGTTATGAAATTCTAGATCAATCCTGGACTGGTCCTAGAATAGAAATTTCAGCTTGGAGCAAGTTTTAGTTACCATAGCAACACACCTTGCGCCAGTTAGCATTTAGGTGGCAAAACAACATATAACAGGTTTGAAGTGGTTAGCCATGCTTCTACCTTCAGACCATTCTGCTTAAAGCTGGAGTACCTGACTTTAAAACCACAACATGAAATAGGCAATAAAATCCATCCATAAAATCTAGGTCTCTAGTTCTTTACTTTAAAAAATATATATTTATATAAATACTAAATTTTATTGTGTCTTAAATGTTGATTCTCTGATCCGTGTCGGCAATTTCAGCGGTTTTATTAGGTCCTCTGAGATAACTGCTGTTGTGATTTAGGGCGATGATTTGAAAAACGTATGCCTTCGAGCAAAAGAGCAAACGCAAAGAATGCTTTAAGTGTGTTCTTTAAGAGTGCACTAAAGCCACATTCACGTCTCACAACTCCAGACTCCCATCGGGTGAAGTATTTATTCCGAGGATAAACACAGATCACATTCCTGGGCCCAGAGGAGGGGGGGAGGAGGAGGATGAGGAGGAGGGGGCGGGGGAGGAGGGGGGGTGGGAGCGGTCCAGGCCATCCCAGAGCCGAGGCCCGGGGTGGATCTCTCCCAGAGCAGGCCTTGTAGGGAGCTGTGCACGCGCTCAGGACGGAGGTGTCTTCCAGAACGTACTGTTTAGTTGGACCATTATGAACTACTTAGAGGTACAGAGGGGGACTTTCTACTTCCGGTGGATCATCAAGACTATTGGTCCTTCTAATTGTCAATCATTCTGGTGATATGTGCTCATCCAATAAGACCAGAGAGATTTTTCAAAAAGTGGAGAGGGCGGTTCTTTCCTAAGATTTGGGAAAATCCTCCTAAAAACCTTTCTGTAAAAGTATGAAATCTCTTTTGGTGACAGATTACTAAACACTTGTGCTGTCAAACAATTAAACTATTTAATTGCATTAATGTCATAGTTCTGTCACAGTTAATCACCGTAAATCACACATTTCCCTCTGTCCCTTGATTTGGTTTGAAAAGTCATTGGATGGAGCAAAAAGCGTTTATCAAACCAATTGGATTGACCAATATTAAACTCTAAATGAATTTCACATTTTAAGAATTATATTAAATTGACCTCCTGGCCTTAAATGTTGATATAAAATAAGTCATTTTATGAATTATAATATTACGGGTAAGTCCCGCCTTCCCTTCCCTTAGCTATTGACCATTGATTGTGAATGAGCTTACGGCGGAAGTATTGGAAACTAGCATTGCTGCGAGAGCAAAACGGACACAACTCTTAAAAACGGAGCTTCCTCTCCTAAATCGAGAAGTGGCTGCTTCAAGCACATGTTCGATTACGTTATAGGTGGAAGTAGGACATCAAGTCAGGGCTCACAAAGAGTGGTATTTGGAGAAGTTAATGATTGCCTAACTGGATGTTGACCCGTCATCCAGTCAATTTTATCGATTAAATTAAATGTCTATTTTTGCCCAAATTCACCCTACATGATCTTTATCATTATCGTTAACAATGCATCCCCTCACACTGGAGCAGATTTATATGTACATTTTGCTGGTAGCATTAGCAATAGTCCACTTTTCTGTGGCTTTTCTGTCTACAGCCAAACATGATACGTACTGACGGAGAGGAAAATAGTGAAACACGCAATTGACTTAAAAGATAAAAATGTCAATGTTGCAGCGCACATACAGGACAGTAGTAGGTCCCAGTCCTTTTGGTTGATTGCCGCTGGCCATCGTCGTCTTCTGTCTTCATGACGAGCAGGTATCAGATAAAAAGCTTATGTCCTTGCCTGTTAGTATAATCAACCGCACTGCAAAATGTCACACTTTCGGCTGTAATGCGCTGAAACAGGTTGTTTTGGTCAGGTGTCCGTAGGCTCGCAGTTAGACTTCTGCCGTCTGTCATGGAGAGTGGGCGTGGCCGTGACGTCACATGCAAGGGGTCAATAGCTCAGAATCCACGATGCCGTCCACCTTAACCAATCAAGTGATGCCAAGGGCTGTCAATCATCGGCCTCATGCTCAGTTGTTTGTTTTCACGGAGCCTTAGAATCAAGCCTCCATTAGGCTCTGGAACTACATGAAAACTGAAAAAAGAATTCTGAACATCTGCGCTGAGTCACCCATTTATATACTGAACCTATATCCATAATCATTTATATATGAACTTATATCCATAATCATTTATATATGAACCTATATCCATAATCATTTATATACTGAACCTATATCCATAATCATTTATATACTGAACCTATATCCATAATCATTTATAACCCTGAACCTATAATAGCTACTTCCGGGTTTACCGCGATCGCTTTTTTTTCCAAATTAAAACATTAAAACATTTTTTCCAAATTAAAACAATGAAAGCCTCTGTGCATGTGTATTAATAATGTATAATGTGTTCAGATTAATATTTAAATGTGTTGCGGAAACGTAGGCGTTGACCAAATCATGCGCCTCTCTGTCTATTTTCCGACAAACTCCAGACAATCACTTTAAAAACTTAATCTCTGTTGTTAGTGCTTTTTACAGTGTATAGAAGAGGTGTGCTCACATTTGGTCAAAGAGTGACTTTTACTGCAACCATTGAGCCGTGACTGACTTCAGGCTGATGTGGGAGTGTTATTATTCAGATTAATACATTTGGTTGTTTCATGATTCAGTAGATTATCTCAGACTCAGTCACATTGGATTGGCAGGAAAGAAATAAATAAAAATAAAAAATAAAAGTGTTGTATATGGCACAAAATACACATACATTTAGTGTTGCATCAAGGAACCAAAGAGCATATCTCCAGAACGGAAAGCAATGTTAGGGATGAATCTTTTGGTATTTCCAGAATGTAGCAGATTTAGGGGCTGTAAATCCAAATACTGTTATCAGTGAAAGAAGTTTTGGAAAAGAGCACGGTTTATTAATGTCTTTTGGCAGATTTAATGATGACTTTACATGAAAATCTTACATATCGCTCCTTTAAACTATTCAAACTATTTAAAAGATATGGTTGGGTATAAAGTTCCAAAGACTATGTAAATGTTTAAGCCAGTTTAGTGAAGAGTCTAATGTAGGGAGGATTATTTTAGATTAACCAGTATTCTAATCTAGAATTATTATTATCGTCAGAATTTTGGGCTTCACTCACCTAAACAAGGCTCCACGACTTGTTACGCCGTCATTATCATTTATTATACCTGTGGACTCACCTTGATTGTCTGCACTGTTAAATGTCTAGTGTATAATTTTATTAAGATTTAATAAAGGAAGCTTAAATCTGTCTTTTCCTTTTTTACTTAGAACTTATTTGTGTTATGTGGTGAGATGGACTCAAGGAGGACTCAAAAGTGCCGGAATGCAAAAAATAAATAAGGAAATAAATAGAAGTCCAGGGTAAAAACTAACCAAAGATCCAAATGCAACTCAGGAACCAGGAATACGACGGACAAGTGGGGATGAGCACAGGTACATATAGACACAGAGAGACATCAACACAAGGGAACTGGACAGGACGTGAAACCAAAACTAAACAACAGTAAACTATTATCAGAACAAAAAAAACTACCAGAATGACAGTTTGCACCAAATACCAAAACAGATTTGTAGTTTGTACTCCCTGTTACAACAACAATACAATTCAATACAATTTATTCTTGTATAGAGCTAAATCACAACAGCAGTCATCACAGAGGACTTAACAAAACCATTGAAATCACCAACACAGATCAGAGCATCAACAGTTAACACACAAATAGAACACATGGTATTGGTCCATAGGGAGAGACCAGTGTCCATGAATGTTGATAAATGTCACACATGTGGAATTTGAGAGTGTCCTAGATCACCACAGTCCTTCTTGTAGACACTAACTGTCAAACAGACTCCTGCATCAGAGGAAAAACTCTAAAACCCAGTTGGAGAAAAGTGAGAAACCTCAGGGAGATCCACATTGAGAGAGGGGTCCGCTCCACACGGACGGTCTGTAGATCCAGGACTCAGACTGTAGAACGAGGACTATAGAGGTCTAAAGATCCAGGACTCAGACTGTAGTACGAGGAC